AAGTCCATGAGCTACCATTAAAAGCGAATTGCAAGCGCAATATGATTATGATATGATTTGTAATAGCTAATAGATAGATAATATAGATAGATAATAGAAACACTCTGTGCAAATAGCGCTATTGTATGGGTAATACCTCATTAATAGAGTATTTTAAGCATAGAATGTTTCAACTGATTTCATTACACAAAGGTAACGGTATTTTTGTAGCCTCATTTTAATTGATATCGATAACACATTTGATAATATATACATATGTATATATAACATACATACATATGTATATCTGCTGACGCCATAATCTTATCGCAAAATCAATTAAGATATGGCTATGATAACTGATATATGATGATAAAACCCATATGCAAAATGAGCGTTAAATTAAGCAAAACAACAAAATTGACATTGTCCTCACTAATAAAAGGTTGCTCCCTCCTTCTGTCTCTCTCTCTCTCTCTCTCTTCCTTTCTTCCTCTCTCTATATGCCTTTCTCTCGCTCTTGTTCTATTTTACCAGATACCAGATAGCGGACTCACATATCTGTCAGAGCGTATACTGCTCTTCATACATGACTATAGCACACCCAATGTGCTGCACATTATCAATTCCGCCGCGGAAGTTGTGGACGAGACATTGGTGGAAATTGTATTAACAGCCAGTCGTAAGTACTGTATATAAAATGCATGCGCTGTCACCTTCAATCTGTGCTTTGCGAGCGAGAAGAGTGACAGCCATTTAACAAAAATGTCATCAACCATATCCATTTGATGCCCCCAACAGCCATACTGTATCCGACATCGGAAATGCCAACACTGAAGCCGCATAGCCTGAACGTGCACTCCTATAAGGCGCCCACATTCTGTGATTTTTGCGGCGAGATGCTGTTTGGTCTGGTGCGTCAAGGACTCAAATGTGATGGTATGTAGCCTGACAGCAGAGACACACACGCGCACACACACGCACGCATCCTATCTCATAAAAACTAACTCGATTGTGGCGTATACTTTATTCCCATAAACCCGTCACAGGCTGTGGTCAAAACTATCACAAACGATGTGTGGTGAAAATACCCAACAATTGCAACCGCTCCAGTGATGCTACATCGCGACGTTCGTTCACATTGCAGCCGCCCCGCAGCCCATCCGGCAGCTCACAGCAGTCGCTTGTCTCCAACGAGGAGTCGACGGGTCGTCATGACTCCAGCAGTTCATTGGTAAAACGCATGTCGGAGCTTATGAATGATATTATTAAGAATTAAAAGTGGGCTACGAACTGGGGTACTTAGGTGTGGCTATAAGCGAGTGCTTGTTAACGGTAAGGTAACGGGGCTCCCTACGAGTATTTAAAAACTATTTACATAATTTTGCATTTATTTTTTTTGTATTATTTACATTTGAATAAACTTGAATTTTGCTAAAATGCTTAATTGGCTTTTATTTGAAATCCAGTTAAATACTCGTAGGGAAACGTTATTAAATGAAAATTCAATTAAACGGCTTAATAGTGGGAACAGTGAAATGGGCGTGAACAGTTGAGAATCGAGAAGAGTGAAGAGTGGAAAGTGTAGAACAATTTATGTTGGGTTTGCAGTCAAATATTCTGTAATCGCGCAAACTTTGGAATGATAAACTTTTGGGTGTACAAAATGGCATTATTTAGGATTTGAAAATATACATATATATATAACCTGACGATATTTATGACAAACAATACCTGGCAGCCCCGTTCGTCGGACTGCTCCTAAATATGTACCAATTTCTAAAACTTATATCATAGTTTCACGTTGATTAACTTTATTTGAAATTTTTAATTGTTCTACCCCAAAATTGATAGAAATGCATGGCAGAAATAATTTGGAAGGGAGTCTCCTAGCAAAGTAGGGTATCTCCTAGTCAAGCGCTCGCCTTCACGATTATTTTGTTGTAAAACTTTTTGCATTTCGTCCGTAGAACATACCAGCATATACCGGCCGTCATCAGCGCACTCACTCCGCCAGCAGCCGGAACGGTCAGATGGTGCTCCGGATTCCGCACACCTTCATGGTGCACACATACGGCATACCCACGGTCTGTCAGCACTGCAAGAAGCTGTTGAAGGGCTTGTTCAAGCAGGGCTTGCAGTGCCGCGACTGCCAGTACAATACTCACAAGAAGTGCATGGATAAGGTGCCGCAGGACTGCACCGGCGAGACGCAGCTCAGTCAATTGCAGGCGGAGATTAGCGATGGGACGCCGCGCAAGGAGCGTGACAATTTTTTTCGCGAGGAGTTCGATGACAGCGATTTTGAAGATGGTCCACAAACTGAATATGCCAAATATAACAAAGCCAGCGGCGGCACAAATCTGGTAGCTGGACGACCAAGGGAGCCACCCAAGGCTTTGACCAATGCACATAACTCACCACCGGAGCTAGTCAATGGTGGCATGGATGGCAGCAGCAGCAGCACTGCGGGTGATACCAAATCCAGCGACGGCCAGTCGGAGCAGTCGCAATCCTCATCCTCCTCTTCACCTAGCGCCAATATACCCCTCATGCGCATTGTGCAGTCCGTGAAGCACACAAAGAAACGTGGCGGCCAAGCCATCAAGGAGGGTTGGCTGGTACATTACACCTCCATGGACAAGGCGCTGAAGCGCTACTATTGGCGGCTGGACTCCAAGACCATAACGTTGTTCATATCGGAGCAGGGCAGCAAGTACCACAAGGAGCTGCCCCTCGCCGAGCTACTTTCAATTAAGACGAATCGTGATCCGCGACCCGAAAGCAACTACTGCTTTGAGCTGTGCACCGCCAATCTGAACTACTACGTGGGCCAGGATCCTCAGCTGGGCGTAGGTGTGGATCATGCCGTACGCCTGCCACCGCCGGACAGTGGCATCGGCACAGACATAGCCAAGAGCTGGGAGACCAGCATACGCCAAGCCTACGTGCATGTGACCAACACGCGTGAGTAGCAGTTTCCCAGGAAGCCCATTTAACTACGAGTTCCTAATCCCCAATTTCTCTCTCTCTCTCTGTCTCTCTCTCTTACAGAATGCTGCGAATCGGAGGAACAGGTGCAGGACATGGGTCAGCTGTATCAGATCTTTCCCGACGAAGTGCTCGGCTCCGGTCAGTTCGGTGTCGTCTACGGGGGTGTCCACAAGAAGTCCAAGCGGGAGGTGGCCATCAAGGTAATTGACAAGCTACGCTTCCCCACCAAACAGGAGGCGCAACTGAAAAACGAGGTGGCCATACTCCAGAACATAACCCACTGTGGCGTCGTAAATCTGGAGCGTATGTTCGAGACACCGGAGCGCATATTTGTGGTCATGGAGAAGCTCAAGGGTGACATGCTGGAGATGATACTCTCGCATTCACGCGGCCGTCTCAGCGAGCGTGTGACCAAGTTTCTGATCACACAAATCCTGATTGCCCTGAAGTATCTGCACTCCCAGAATATTGTGCATTGCGATCTGAAGCCGGAGAATGTGTTGCTCTCTTCGGATGCTGAATTTCCGCAGGTGAAACTCTGTGATTTTGGCTATGCGCGCATCATTGGCGAGAAATCCTTTAGACGTTCGGTTGTGGGTACGCCCGCCTATCTGGCGCCCGAGGTGTTGCGCAACAAGGGCTACAATCGCTCGCTGGACATGTGGAGCGTCGGTGTCATCATCTATGTGAGCCTCAGCGGCACATTTCCCTTCAACGAGGAGGAGGATATTAACGATCAGATACAGAACGCGGCATTCATGTATCCACCAAATCCATGGAAGGAGATCTCCTCGAATGGTAAGTCCAGATGTCTATCTATATAAAGCTGTTTTACCGGACCACGCTAAGACTGGGTTTTGGGAAATTTTACGCGGAAAACACTTGAATACAACATAACAAAATAGCACGGGTAGATTTTAATTTTTTACGGGCGGGAAATGGGTGGAAATTCGGGCAAGGCTGGGATATACCGTAAAATTATATTATTATGCCAAAAATATCTAACATCTTCTTCATCCACCCTCCCGCCAGCCATTGACCTTATCAACAACCTGCTGCAGGTGAAGCAGCGCAAACGCTACACATGCGACAAGAGTCTGATGCACTATTGGCTGCAGGACAAGCAGACATACAGGGATTTGCGTAATTTGGAGACGCAAGTGGGCCTGGGACGCTATCTCACCCATGAGGCAGACGATGTGCGCTGGGACAGCGCTGGTGACATTTGACCTGCTGCAGGTGTCAAAACAACAACAGCAACAACAACAAACGCAACAAATCCAGAACTGATGCAACCGCTGTCCGGCTGCCATAGCGCGCCCAGCGATAGCTATCCATCCCCATCGAACTGTGCCGGCTGCCATCGTCTGACCAGCTCGCCGAAAGTAGAGGCCATTGGCGATAAGGCGCTGAAGTGGATGCGCTTTCATCTCTGCAAGCACATCAAATAGCGTCCACTTATCCATAGCTTTTTCTATACATATTTTATTGTTTATATACACATACATATGTTTGTCACTGACTGTAAATTAAGGACAAATTTTAATTAGCAGCTTGTTCGAAAGTGAAAAAAAAAAAAAAAAAAAATTAAAAATTTTCAGCGATCTAAACTTATCACATAACTGTGAATTTCGAAATACCTTTTTTCATGCTTGCACTAGCGCTTGCTCTTGCAAAAAAAAAGAAGGAAATTACATTTCCATCCGAACAAATTATATTTCTCACACGCTTTTCCAGCAACTTTTGTAACTGAAATCTCTGTGCTAAATTTTTCTTAAGCATCAAAACTAGTTTATAGCCAAAAGAAGAACCTAACGAATTACAGTACATAAAATATGCATACAATATGATCATATAGACCAACCCGAAAACGCTCAGCTGTACTCGTATTTTAGAAACAATTATAAAAAAAAATAAAAACGAAAACAATTTAGATAAATAAAAGAATGCTTGAAAATGAATCTTGTTTATCTGTGCCACAAATCTCAGTGGCATGCAACGGTTGACACCCTTTTCTTCCAAAGACTTTTCAACCACTTTTCCAGACAGTCGCTGCGGAGCCATTTAACGAACAAGATGCGTCAGTTTGTAGCCAAGCTGTGCCTGCTGCTGGCACTGTCCCACTTCAGTCTAACCGAGTGGGTGGAGATATCTCACTCGCACTCGCAGCCAATTGAAGCCCCCAAGCAGGTCAAGCAACTGTCCGTTGAAGGAAATGTAAGTCCCGAGGGTTTAACTACGCCCAGCGCCGTGTGGATCGAGTATCAGCGCGAACGATTTGGACTGAGCAATAGTCAGAGCAATCCGCTGATAGTCAGCGATGCAGGCGGGCTGAAGCACAGCTCTCAAGTTGTGGTCCCAAACGGCAGTCAGGTGATTCATGCCAGGACCAAGTTGGTGGTGAAGAATAGCTCTAGCATGCCGCCAGTAGAAGTGGATTTGGTGGTTACACCCAAAGTGGAAACCACATCACGCCGTCACTCGTCGCATGTGGAGAGTGCTGAGGATGCAGATGGCATTGTGGAGACAGCCACCGAGCCGTCGGATACCGATGTCGACGATGACGAGCTGCAATTGCCCAGCATGCAGGGTTTTATAAAATTTCTGAAAAAAATGCAAGTCGGTTGGATAAAGAAATCAGCGCTCAACTTTGAAAGCAAAATTAAATTACTGAAGCAACTACGCGATTCTTTCATGAAAGTTATTGGTGCGTATTTAAAATAATAAAGAAATGACACTAAGTGCATTATACGTCCCACAGAGCAACAGTTCTCGGTGCTGTGGCTGCCAACGGAGCGTCACAGACGACGACGACGCAGCCTGTTGGATGAATCCAATTTGGATTTTCCACCAGAAGCAGCACTTATGAGCATTAATTTTCTGACATTTGCAGTGTTTTTAATAAAACTGGTGCTGGTGAGTAGATAAAACTTAAACAATTAAAATTTAACTATAAATATTTTCAATATAACAGCAAGTTGTGAAAATAGTCAAAAGCAAGCATTACAACTTTTCGGGCTTTAATATAAATGCAGAGCTGGTGCGGAATCCATAATATCTACATTTTAAAATTGGCGGGCTGTGCAGCGCGTGCTGAATTTGGTAACTCTGGTGACAGCAATCATCTGGCAACGCCGCGACGGACAACAGCTGATTTTCTATTTAGAATTCTTACACGTGCAACGGCACATTCAAACTTTAAGATAGTTTAGTTTTATTTTAATTAAATAAAAATGGATGAGAAAACATTGATTGAAACTGTTCACAAACGCAAAAAAGATGCATATTTACCCACAATGCGTAAGTGTTGAATAAAACCAAAGCATGTCGCCACTAAAACGGCTTCGGGTTGCAGTAAATTTCCAGAACGGCTCGCTCGGCGCCAGCTCCAATTTCTGTTTGGTTGAGAGCAAAAACAATCGAAATCCACGCAAGCGCGCATTGGTCATGGCCGGTGTTAACACTTATGTGGGGGATTTGCAGGACAGCGAAGAGTTTGATACGTATATTTGCGTGCGCAACAAAACCACAAATAAAGCAACAATTGTGCCTGTGCAACAAGCGCTGCTGTCCAATCACATCTACGAGAAGATGGAAAAGCTGGAGAACCGACCAATGCTAAGCAAAGAGCATGCCACGAAGAAGCTGCTCAAGGAATTTGGTGGACGCAAGGCATCCCGCTATGTAGCCAATCACGAGCAAATGATGGTCAATGTGGATGTGATGCGTAAAGATTTGGATGAAACCGTGCAGAGCTCTGTGCGCCAGAATGGTGAGGATGAAGAGGATAACAGTTTGCCCGAAGTGGACGCAAACAATGCGGAATACTTGGCCACCATCGTGCCCAAGTGTGATAAGGCGGCAACAAAAATAAGCGAAATTTACGACGTGGAGGACGTGGTGCCACAATCCCTACTGGATCGCCTGGACGAAGAGGCCAACAGTGTGTACTCGACGCCATTGGAGACACTGCCGTAAGTTAAATATACCATTAACCAAATCTCAACTAATAACATTCACGTGCAGCATCGAGTCGGACTATTTGCGCGATTGCATCAAGCGCATACAGGATAAGGAAGTTACCACGAAGCAGGACATCCTCAACCTTAAATTGATTATCTACATGGATGCGCTGCAATCGCTAATCGCGCTGCGCAAACGACAAATGAAGCATGTTGAACTGTCGCGCATCACGGAAAAGGTGGAGAACGATGTACGGCATCGTTTTGCCGATCCCAATGTTGCCAAATCCTTCACACGCACCAGTTTTAGCACAGAGAAGGCACTCACTCATTTCATTGTGCTTGCCCTGCTCATCAGCGAGAAGCACGAAGTGGACGTCAATATACTCTCACGCATTCTGCGTACATCCAAGGATCGCATCATTGCCTATGCTCACATTGTAAATGCCCGTCCCAAAGCCCGCTCGGATATGCTATCACTGCGGCTGCCCAGCACTGTGCCCGCGCTGACGTCTTCCAGGCGCTTTCAGCGCAAGAAATAGCAGTGGCAAATTTAGCATCAGTAAGGCAGTAGAAAAAACACCCTGTATTGATTGCAGCAGTTGCATCGATTAAACAATTTCGGGCCGATTCGAGTTCAAGGCCGAATAGAGGACCTAAAAAAGCACGATTTATTTTTACATATTTTACTTGTATTTTAAATGACAAATCGTGAGAAAAATATAACGCTGCGTGCCGTTTTTTGTATCTTAAAAAACCATTATTTATTTTTACATTTCATTTTATTTAGATTATTAAATGATAAAACGTGAGTAACATCTAACACTTGCGTGCAGTTTTTGTTATTCAGAACTCGAGAAAATAATACAAATACATTTCATTTTGCTAAATAATTGGAAATTTTGCTGTATGTGTTTGTTGCATTCTTAGAATTCGACAATGCTTGGCTCGTCGTTGTAACTTGATATAGATTGGTTAGATTCCTTGTTATATGTGGTTTGAACAAACAGTTCGCTGAAGTATTTTAGCAGAGTTAAGTAAACTGATTTTGGCTCTGTGTCCAGCTGTAGAATGTGGCAATTGATAATTGGCTTTTGAAAATATGTATTTCATTTTTACTCACACGCAAAACAAATGCAAGGCAATCTTGTTAATCCCTCCCCCATTGATGTTGTAAGTGATTTTTGATGTGTTCTTGATTTTTGGCCTAGACAGCCAGGCCGAAAACGGAAACAATGCAGTACATGGTCTTATTCTCCCAGCGCACTGTGCAGCTGCCGTCGGTATCGTTGTTCCAATAGCAGGAGCTGGCCGTATGCAAGCCGGCGCCATTCTTTTGCATAATCATGGCGGTGACAATGTATTTGTATGGCTTCTGCTCCTTGGTCAGCACAGTCAGGCAATTCTCAACCACCTGGCCGGTCCAGTTGTTAACCTTATCGTGCTGGTACGCATTGCCTCCGATAGTCGACTCGATTGCCTCTTTAATTGTTTTGCTCACATCATCCACAATAAATTGGCTTTCCTCGCGTGAGTCATCCATTGTAGTTGTCGATTTGCAAAAGTTTTCACAATATTTCGTATATAATTTATGCTTGTCTGCTGTCGCTTCACGTTGAGTTATGCGCGCGTATTCTCATTCGATGGCGCGTCTGTTTCCCACAAAAACAAATATGTCTGGTCAGTTTCGACAAATTTCGCTTGCCTTCTTAGTTGGCGAGCTGTTAACTTAGTGATGTGAAAAGCACTAAATTATCGATAGATCGTTTTTTGCGCGATATGCACTGATTTTTTAAAATACCTCAAATTCCTCATATTAGAGCGAGACAACTACAGTTGTGCAATGTGTAATACTTATCGATGGGTAGTCACATATAATCTTGATTATCGGCCTTTCACTTCAATTGTTTATTTTACGATCTTTGCGAATTATTAAAAGGGATAATGACAGCATCTGCCTTTTCCAGCCTGGATACGGCGGCGTTGGAGCGCCAGACAGAATTGACAGCTGAATTGCCGATAATATTTGAACAAATCTGGAACGAGACGCACAAAAAAGTTAGCAGCAACTGGATACGACAAAATGGTTATAAGCGGGTGCGTAATTTCTATCACTAACAATCGTTTCTAGATTTTAACACATTTCTCAGATCTGCCTGCAATTCCCAGATGATTATCTGCCACACAGCAATGCCATCAGCACCTATCTACAGACAGCTCTGGCAGCAGAGGAGTGCAAAATATTCATTTTAGCAGACACGACATATGGCAGCTGTTGCGTGGATGAAATAGCTGCGGCTCATGTGGAGGCGGACAGCATGATTCATTTTGGCAATGCTTGCCGCAGCAAAGCCAGTCGCCTGCCGGTGCTTTATTTGTATCCGGTGCTGTCGATAGAGCTTTCCACAATACTGCAACAGCTAGCTACGCTGCAGCCGGAGTGCGGCGAACGAGAGGTTTGCGTCTACCTGGACATAGGCTATCAGCATCTGTACGAGCAGCCGCCAGCTAGTAGCGTGCTGGCTGAGGGCGAAGACACGCTTTATCACCATCTGCGCGATGTGCTGCAACCCAAGAAGCTGTTCATTGAGCCGTATCCACCACCGGCTGAAGATTGCATCGAGAGCAAGCAATACGCAGAGTCCGAGAATGCCGAGCGCATTTGCATTTTTGTGGGTGCCGATAATCAACGTTTCGCCAATTTGTCGCTAACTACTAAAGCGTTCCAGTGGCATATATTGGACGGTGCCACTGGCACACTGAGTGCCAAAAATCCGCTAACAGCTCAATATATACGCCGACGCTATTACTACATAGAGAAGTGCAAAGATGCACAGACCTTGGGCCTTATTGTGGCCACATTGAGCGCTGTCGGTTATTTGGACGTGGTGACGCGTTTGCAGGAAATGGCAAAGAGTCGTGGCATCAAGACGCAGCTGATTTCCGTTGGCCGCATAAATCCCGCAAAACTGGCCAACTTTCTGGAGATTGATTGCTTTGTGCTAATTGGTTGTCCCTTTAACAATATGTATAATTCCAAAGAGTACTACAAACCCATTGTATCCGTCTTCGAGGCGGAAATGGCGCTGAATCCAGCCTGGCATATGAAATACCCGGAGGCGTATGTCACAGATTTCAAGCAATTGCTGCCCAAGGGTCGCAGCTTTTTGCCCTTTGATGCACAGGCCGTGCAGCCACAGGATGTTAGCCTGGTCAGCGGACGCATGCGAGGCGGTACTGGCTGCGATGAGACAGTCGATGCAAGCAATACCACGGTGGCTACTCAGGCAAAAATGGCTCTGATGACAACTGACACGGGTCTGACGTTTGAGGATCGCACTTGGCAGGGCTTGGATCCAGCTTTGGGACAAACCGAACCAGCAAAATTGCAGCAGGGTCTCAGCGGCATACCCATCAAATACTCGCACGATTAGGTTTAAATTTATATAAATTTCTTAATAATAAGTTATAAATATCAATAAAATATAGCGAACAACAATTACTGCATTTTATTTTAGTAAGTTTTATTTTATTTTGGTTTTTACTGATTCTCTTGCATCAAATTTCTTCAATTAAACTACTCGGCTAGCAACAATGTTTTAGCACCGGCATGGTCCCTAAACCCTCAACCAGTACATTGAGGAGCGAATTCTGTTGTAGTCGGGCAGATTCTCAACGGGCCCAACGGCGGACACAGCGGGGCATCTGTCATAAATATATTTCATGCCCACGTCGCGCACATTCTGCACACTGACGGCATCGATGCGCTGCTCCAGCTCATGCAACGGGATGCGGCGATTATAACACAGAATCTGACGACCAATGTCCTCGCAAATAGGTGTTGTACCATCCAATTGCAGCAGCATGTTTGTCTTCAACAAATTCTTGGCGCGCTCAACCTCTGCCTCGGTGACCATGGTGCACAGACGCATCCATTCGGTTTGCACGTTGAAGATCATATCCTAAAATAGTTCGCTCTATATATAAAAACAATACTATGCTAAAATAGATTCTGATATACCTCACACTGCAATGGATCGCAAACGAAATAGATGCCCCAGAGGCCAGTATCCTTATAGCAGGTGTTGAAAGACTGGAAGCTGTGGCACAAATCTGCAATTATAACACAAACCGAAGATTATACAATAAAACAAAGATCAATTGGTTATTAATACTCACTGTCTTCGGCACTGGCGCGCGCTAGGTTGGATGCATTGTTGGCGCCGCCGCCCTGGGAGCGGTCCCAGGCACCAACTAAAGTGTTGGCTACCATCAATGGGATGTTATCCTGATCGGTCCAGCCGCATCCCTCAACAGCGACAGCTACGTGAGCCAATGGCAGCGAATCGTCACGCACGCGCACCTCAGAGCCGGTGAAGCGACAGGGGGTCACTTCTGCTGGCAGAACGCTAGCCTCTAAACGGCCAAGAGACTGATCCGCCAACTTAACCAGCTCGTCGTGCTTGACGCCACCAGCACCAGCCAAAACAATGCGCGATGCCTTATAGTGGGTCTGAATGTAATCGGTTAAATCGGATTTGCCAATTGACCTGCAAGCCACAATGTTTAGCCTCGTTCAAAATATAAAACAACTAATTTCCACTCACTGAATGTTCTTGGTAGGGCCGAGAATGGTCTGGCCCAAGGGAGTGCCCTGGTAAGCGGTAGCGTGCAAGTGATCAAAGACCACCTCCTGCAAATTGCTTTCCACCTCCTGCATCTCGCGCAAAATGACCGAGCGCTCTCGCGCAATCTCGGACTCGCCCAGCTTAGAGTTCTGAATGATATCAGCCAAAATCTCAACTGCTTTGGGCACATCCTTGGACAAGCACTTGGCGTAGAACACGGTCTGCTCCCGAGAAGTGTACGCGTTCAGGTGAGCACCCATGTTCTCAACCTCAAGCTCCAGATCGGTTTGGGAACGTTTGGCAGTGCCCTGATAAGGAAAACAAATTTATTAATATAAATGTATATACTTGATGGTATGTTAGCTCACCTTGAAGGCCATGTGCTCAAGAAAGTGGGCAACACCATTGTTCTTGTCATTCTCGGAACGGGAACCAGCATCGATCCAGAGTCCAACGGTGGCAGTGGAGGCGCCGGAATCCTCGCTAGCGACGCGCAGGCCATTGTCCAGCTTAGTCACCTGCGTAGCGGGTATGTTTAACAGCGTCTTCTTGACGGTTAAAGCCGACTTGTAGCGCTAAGAAAATCAAAACAAAATGTTGAGTTTTGCATTGGTTGGGCAATTGGCGACACATAACCTCAAATTTGCTATAGCAATTTTGTAACTATTTTATTTAATTTTCAAAGAAATTTATTAAAGGGCCACGCGAGTCCTGGCATCACCATTAAGCCTGAGACTCTCCGGACGCATGCAACGCGTAAATTGCAAATGTGAAACTTACAACATACACAATTACGTAATTTAAAATCCTGGAGTGTAAGCTGAAATATGGTTTTTTTCCTTACCTTGATGAGGTCGACGCCGCGCATGTATGTGCGAATATTTTGCGTTGCTCCAAGTACACGCAACGCCATCGTTTCTTATGATCGTTCAATAACTTATGCACTTAAAATAACTAAAACTTCTGGGTTCCCGATATCGCGGCGCCTGCTGAAAATTTCACACACAGAGGCTAAGGCGTTAAGTTGGCTGCGCACAAATCAGCTGTTCGCTGGTTAACAACACTGGTCACACTGTTTCAAGTTGGCAACGCGATAATTGCAGAGTTTTGGGCTATTTTCCTATTTTTTGCTGTTTTCGGCAATTTATTTATTTTTTTGTTAAAATACCTACAATTTAAATTTACTGCCGAAAAATCTAAGCTAGCTTACTACAAGCATTTAAGTTTATAATGGCCGGCAACTTCTGGCAAAGCTCGCACTCTCAGCAATGGATACTGGACAAGCAGGATTTGCTGCGAGAACGCCAAAACGATTTGCTGGCGCTCAGCGAGGACGAGTATCAAAAGATATTTATATTCTTTGCCAATGTCATTCAAGTACTTGGGGAGCAGCTGAAACTGCGGCAACAAGTTATTGCCACGGCAACTGTTTATTTCAAGCGCTTCTATGCGCGTAACTCATTAAAAAATATTGATCCGCTGCTGCTTGCGCCCACCTGCATACTGCTAGCCTCCAAAGTGGAGGAGTTTGGCGTCATTTCCAATTCGCGCCTCATCTCCATTTGCCAGTCCGCTATCAAGACCAAGTTCAGCTATGCCTACACGCAGGAGTTTCCCTATCGCACAAATCACATACTCGAGTGCGAGTTTTATTTACTGGAGAATCTTGACTGTTGCCTGATTGTGTTCCAACCATATCGGCCCTTGCTGCAGCTGGTGCAGGATATGGGTCAAGAGGATCAGTTGTTGACGCTTAGCTGGCGCATTGTTAACGACTCGTTGCGCACCGATGTCTGCCTGCTCTATCCGCCGTATCAGGTGAGAATAAAATGGGGCCCGATTGACTCAATTAACAGATTAATCCCCAAATACTTTTAGATTGCAATTGCCTGCCTGCAAATCGCCTGCGTCATAATGCAAAAGGATTCCACCAAGCAATGGTTCGCTGAGCTCAACGTGGATTTGGACAAGGTGCAGGAGATAGTGCGCGCCATTGTCAATTTATATGAACTGTGGAAGGACTGGAAAGAGAAGGACGAGATTCAAATACTTCTGTCCAAAATACCCAAACCCAAGCCGCCGCCACAGCGATGAAAAATACAATAAAATATTTATATTAAATTAATTGTATACTTTCTTAAGAATATATTTCCTAATTTATACAATGCTCATCATAGATACTTTGCTTGACCGCTGGAGAACTTTGTATTAAGTATCTTAGCCTTATTCACTATTTGCTTGGTTTGATTTTTGTCAATCTTGTTGAGCTTTAGGTCCACGTCACGGCTAAAGGGACGCCGTTCGGGCTTGGAACCGCTGGCAGCCAGCTCCCTTTCCTGCAAACATGAAACAATTTTCGTAACAACACTTTTAAGATCTTTATTGTTGATGAATCTTACCCGTTCACGCTGCTCCTTGCGCAGTTTTTTCTGATGCAAATCGACTAGAGACTCATCGCGTTTGTGCTTTTTTTTGTGTTTCTTAGCAATGCGCTCCTGCTCTTCGTCACGCTGTCGCTCATAGTTCACCAGCGCTGTTTTTTCCAAATCCTTGGAGCTACATGGTTTTGGGCCAGCGGCGGCACTCTGCGGTGTCTTGGTCCAGCTGCTACGATCACTAAAATCCGGCCGCTCCTTGCCGTGGTAGAATGTCCGCTTCATATTGTTCAGAGCTGCAAGACCGCTCTTCAGTCCCACCTCGGGCAACTCCAGCATCCATTCTTCGCGTACATCTGTTTCCGTTGTAGAAGTGCCCAAGCCGCCTTCCAAGGCAGCTAGTTTTAAGGCCAAAGCTCGTTCTTCCAGCTCCACTTGTGTGGCATTTGGTATGGGTCCAAACGTGCCCACCAGGTCATCAGCGGTATCTTCCTCGCCTTCATCAAAATCAGCTTGAGATGTTGTTGGCTCCGGGAGTTGGCTAGGCATCACGGGCCCAATGATCGAAGGCGGTTGTGCCTGAGGTTCTATCTGGGGTCTGGTCAAATGTGGTGGAAGCGCAGGCCCAAAGGCATCTGAATTGTCAACCGCCTCCGGTATCTGTCTGGGTGGCACCACGGACATTTGTTGGCGCAGTTGCTCTTGCTCGGGTGATTCGAGACACTTGCTGCGCTTCTTTTCCTTGCGGCGCTTTTCATGTTTGTGTTTTTTCGATTTCTTCCTCTTATCGGCATCATCCTTGTCTTGCTTTTTATGTTTTCGCTTACGCCTGTGTTCTTCGGCGCTGGAGCTGCTGAAATCGCTGGTCATGGCTTCTGAAATTGGCGATAAATTGCTGGCAATGAAAACTCAGTGGCTTTACTTTTTTGATTTTAACAACAGATTTTCTTTTGATGTCAACACCTTTGAGGCTTAAAATTAATTAACAAAAACTGCACAAGAAGCGGAACTTAGTCAATAATTGGCAGGAAGGATTAGCGGACCTATGGCAGATGCGAAAGTTTCTTAAACGGCGAAAGTCTTCAATGCCTTGCGATAGCTGTAGACCAAGGACTTGATAAGGCCCGCAGTGGCTATATTTTTGAGCGATTGCGTGATGCTGCTGCGCCAGACAATGTCATTAACCGAGACCTGGACTATTTTGGAGGGCTGTGGTGCTGCCACCAGATATTCTACCACATCCGTGTAGTCACCGCGGCAGGCGGCATTTCGCTGCAGACGACCGCATAGCTCCTTGGGTAAATGGCGGAGATGAAATCGCGTGGCATCGCGCGATTTATCTTGCTCAAAAACAATCGCTGGCTTTAGTGAACCCGGTTCCACGCCATGCATATTCACGGCCAAGTACTGTGACAGATGCCGCATGGCCGGCAGGTAAAGCGCAAAGAACTCGGAGAGTTGTGGCTGGACAATATTGTGCACCTTCTGCTTATTCTCGCCAAAAATCATGCGAAAGTCGCCCTTGTAGCTGAGTCCAGCAATGGCAGTGAATAGCTCGTAGCTAGTAAACTTCTCGGGCAGCAGCAGCAGAGCGACTTGGCACGCTGACTGCAGGTTTCGTTCCATCGCAGACTTAAGTCGTGGATTGTCGTCCAGATTAACGAGAGCAGTAACGGGCTTTTGCAGGCGTCCAGCCAAATATAAGTGCCGCCAATGTAGCAAATCCTCAATTAAATGCTCCTCATGCACCACACCGTATTTGATGGTCACACCAAGATCATGCAACGGCACAAGCGTATTGAAATAAACCTGTGCGCCCAAGAGCTCTTGATACTGTGTCACAAAGTTTGCGCCTAGGTAACGCAACGCCGAATAATGACTGGAATGCCGATGTATATTCTCCGCATGGAAGCCCACAGTATCGCGTACGCAAAATACTAAATCGATGACACTTTTAGAATCCGGCCTCTGGCTGATACTTTCGTAGCCCACCTGCTGTTTTACGCCGGAGCCATAGGCAAACATGTAACTGACATTGCCCAGTGGAAAGCGACCCACCGCGCGCCTGTACAAGTCCAGCATGACGGCCCGGTGTGTGGATATTGGGCTGACTTATGGATGGGGTAGCTTGGTGCAGTCTTAATAGATAACTTTAATTTATTTTATAATTACGTTTGATTCTGGCTGCTTGCGCTGGTATTTCTTATTATCGAATTGGCATCGACGATGCCGCACGACTAAATTATATCTGCGTCAAATTAGCGGCGATGACTAAGCATCGATTTTGGTACTTGGTATCGGAATGGGAATTGGTCACTTTTAAATGCATTTATTTATGTTTTTAAGCACGAAACCTAATAAATTTAAATGCGGAATTGCTAAAAATTAAATTATTTACTGTCCACATTCATTTCTTTTTGAATTTTAATTTATAATATTGGTTAACCAAGGGGTTGAATAATTAGGTTTCCACGATTCTTTAAATATCTTAATTTAGGGATAATGGCCCCGAAAACCGCATATACACGACTAAAGTCTATAGTTTCACCTATCCAATAATGAACAAATTATAAAAATCGATCAGCACGTTTTTTTTTAGATATTTGAACAAGTGTGCAGCAACCTTGTTGCCAGCCCCATACAAAATGACCGTAAAAAATTAGCCTTACACTTGAACCCTAATATCTTTACCTCAATGCACGCTATGCCAATTTAAAGATACATGCTTTAGGAAGCTTAACGCATTAATTCTAAACAAATCGATCAGAAAGTTTTTAGAAAATTAATTTAATGTAAACACACATCATGTTCATTTAAAGTCCTATAGAAATACTAGCTCCGACAGAAATGAACCACAGCTTGGAATCAGTGCTGAACAATTTTATACAGTATTGAGCGGGAACAAATTAATTCAAATTATGTGCATATGTATATGAAAGAAATGAAGACTAAAATAATTGCCACTGTACAATAAAACATTATCTTTGATAATCTCTAATGCTGCTAAATAAGGCAAAAGTGAATTGAAGAATTTAAACACAGTGTTCTAACAATAAGTTGGCAATATTTAAACAAATTTCAAACTATATTTATTAATTTCTCCAATAATGGCCCCAAATCAATCGTTTTGCTATTTGCATCAAGAAAATTCATCCAGCCAGTTTCTAAGACATTCTCATTTTTGCATATTTCTCATAATACGTTATTTTATTGTCTGGGCGACAATTTACATATTTAAATGATGCGATATATTTTATTAGGTACACATGGATATCATTCAATGAGCACAACATTTTTCTCGATCTGCCTACATGGAGTAAGCAAAATATAAAATATATAACCCTACAACTTGTCAATAAATAGAGCGAGCTCTTCAGGTATGTTCTTACTGTGGATCAGTCACTAAATTATTATCCACTAAAGTTTAGATAAATCGCAAGATCTTAAATCTCTATTCGCGTCCTTTAAGTGGTGCGAAATGAAGAAATCGGTGATTTGCAGCATGGTGAACGTATTGGTCACGTTTTAGATACTCAGATACTTCTGCACAACGTCACCTCTTAATACAGCAAAGTAACAAATGTGAAAACTGTCACGCGCCGCAGAAAATGTAATTGATTTAGAGCTTACGTTTGACATTACTTTTTAAGCCTTAGAGCCGCAAACATTTCTAAACGAAAAATTGAAATTTGTGTTTTAAAATAATTTGCTCTGTAACAAAAAATAATTTTACCGGTGTGAGCTCGAGGACGTTGCGGCATGGCAAACCAAGGGAATTGGGCTGATGCTAATCTAGTCCAAAGTCTCAACGAACAAAATCGTTATATTAATGATATGGAGAATGACATTCAGGAAATGCAGCAATACTATGAAAATGAGGTGGAGCAGTCCAAGTACAATGAAGAAGTCCTTAAGGTAAGTCAGCATTTCTGGGTGTTTTGTAATCGAGAGCAAACATCAATTGCTTTCAGTGCCGCTGCAATGAGCTCCAACAACAAGTGCTGACCCTCCAGCCGGCGCTGAAGCGTGCCGACCAGATGCAAATGGAGATCGATGTTTTACGCAATGAGCTGCGAAAACGTGACTTGGCTTTGAATGCCTACGATTGCCAGTACCAGCAGCTAATGGTAAGCATTGTTAATCAGAGGGATATTCAATTTTGTTGTCACTGTGCCTCTGTATCCTTTCCAAGTATAAAACTAAAATGTTCAAGAAATCTGGGTATCGGTACCTAGACGAATTGATAGAAAGTTGCAGTGATAGTTGTTTCAAGAACACCGGAGGATTAGAGGATGATGGCGACGTGACATGTTAATGCCGTGTCCTTTCTGTAGTTAAATTAGAAAAAAAAATTATAAGTGCACAAAATATATAAGTTTTATAATCATAAAGGGGATGAGAGGAAAGTCGTTAGGGTTCGTCTGGATTGTTGACGGCTTAAGCCGTCTGCATATTTCTCCCTTTCACTTTTCCAAGCCCTGGCATTCCGTTTCAATCCAAAACTACTTATAATGATTTTCCTCTCTAATCCCTTGTTTTATATTTCACACACATTATAGACCGTCGTCTGTGAAATCAACCAAAAGTGCGGAAATAACCGTGGTGACTGTCCCTCGTTTAATATTCCAGACTTTCCAGATGTTGGGGATGATCTGATCTTGTACACGAGTGCCACCATAAAACTCATCGTAAAAGACATGGCCAAACAAGCCGATTGCTTCGAGCATATCAGCGAGAATAAATATTTTGGTGGTCAGAATATCAACAATATAGAACACTGCATACGTCAGATGGATCGACTACGGACTTTGCTAAGGCAAAAGGATGGCCAGTTAGGCAATTTGATAGAGGAGAATACGTGCATGTGGGAAGCTGCTGTCGAAAGCAAAAGGCGACTCAACGAACTGAATAAGAGAGTGCGTGAACTTCATAGTGGCACAAAATATATGGAGGAGGGTATGTGCGCCGGTATTGGATTAATACAGGATATTGACGATGGCGCCAAGGTCCACGGAAAAGGAGCTGAGCAATATTGTAAATCTACGGATGTAGAAATGTTTCACATTTGAATAGTTAGCTTTCCAGCTACGCCTTTCTGTTTGAACCGAACGCCTTGCTGCGTACAGCGGAGTAACACCTTGCGCGACGGGAACGAACCTTTCTGGGTGCGATGCCTATGGATCTTGGCTTACTCAACGATAGATCCCAATGATCCTATCTCACATTCGTCGTGCTGATACATGCCTACACTCAAATAATGCGGATTAATCTTCATTGCGGCTGGCAGGGCCAACTAATATTAATATTAAATCACTAGCGATACACAAATACACAATAAATGAAATACAATTCTTTTCATTTTTCACGCGATCTTTGGGTCGTCTTATCGGGCGCAATCTTTAAAGCAGTCGTGGTTTTTGTAGTTCATTGTGGTATTGTGGATATTTTTGACAGACAATTTAAGAAATTGAAATGCGAGCAATATTGTATGATTCTTTTATACATTGGTAACATTGGAATCGATACCATTCTGTTGCATCTTTGCCGTTATCGATATTAAAGTACTCATATTTAAAAAACAGCTGCACGTAACAGCTGTCTAGGCGGCAAAAGTTGCATGTCTATCCGTTAAGTTTGTGGTATATTAATCAATTAAAATAATGCAATATAGTTTATTGAGTGCTCAATTAAGGTGCCCTAGGTTCTTGTTGCGACAGCAAGCACATTTTATCAACCGTTGCTATAGTGATGATATCAGAAACATTGGTATTTTGGCACACATTGACGCAGGTACTAAAACATTGCAATGATTTTAAAATTTATCATTAAAATCGTATGCTGTTTAACTTGTAGGCAAAACCACAACAACGGAACGCATGCTTTATTATGCAGGCAAGACTCGATCTTTGGGCGAGGTACATCGCGGCAACACGGTTACGGATTACCTTACACAAGAGCGCGAGCGAGGCATCACGATTTGCAGCTCAGCCGTTACATTTGCCTGGAATGGTAAGCGGTGCGTGTCCAGATAATAAATGTTGGAACTATGCTCCTTACACGGCTTTTACTTAGTATTAATCTGCTAGACACGCCCGGACATATTGATTTCACGATGGAGGTGGAGCAGTCTCTATATGCTGTGGACGGCGTCGTTGTTGTCTTGGATGGCACGGCTGGCGTGGAAGCGCAAACAGTTACCGTGTGGACACAGGCAGATAATCACAGGCTGCCGCGGCTTGTTTTCGTTAATAAAATGGATCGTCCAGATGCTATTTTTGACAAATGCATTGACGATTTAAAGGCGAAGCTAGATGCAAAACCCATTTGCACGCAACTCCCGGCGAAGAACGTTGACGGACATTTAGGTGAGCTATATGGAAAGACTAAAGAGAGCAACTTAATTGGTTGAAATGCAATATCTTACAGGCATATATGATGTAATTACATTGGAGCAGTTGACTTGGCAACAGAACGATTTTGGAAGAACTTATAGTATTGATAAACTAGAATCTTCTTCTGAAATTCGCGAATTGCATGAAAAGCGCAATGAACTAATTGATCAGTTATCTGGACTCGACGACGAGCTAGCTGAGGTTGTCATTAGCACTGAGAGCTTTGACAAAGTCAGTAATGAGTTAATTGTTCAAGCCCTGCGGCGCGCCACATGCCAGCAGAAGGTTGTGCCCGTGCTGCTAGGCTCTGCTTATAAAAATATAGGCATACAACGTTTAATGGATGCCGTAAATGCTTATTTGCCAACACCAAACGAACGCAATCAGATATATAACTGTTTTGGGTAAGCAGCCAATAGTTAGTTTTCAACTACCACAGTGTTACATAATTGCAGAAATGATCTTGCGGGTAAGGTTTTTAAAATTGTGCACGACAAGCAGCGTGGACCTCTTACCCTGGTGCGCATGCTGCGCGGCGAGCTGAAGCGTGGAATGCGTGTGCTCTCTTCCCGTGGTCAAGCGGAGGTTATAGCGAAAATCTATGAACCACTGGCTGATGAATACCGAGAGGTGAGCTCCGTGCGAGCAGGTGATGTGGCCATATGTGCGGGCCTTAAGGTAAGTCTTTTATGTATAATTGAGTTACGATAGACAGCATCTTCTACAGTCAACAGTTACTGGTGATCTGCTTACAACCAGTCATACATCCCTGAAGAATGCACAGAAACGTTTGATTCAGAGTCTTGACGCAGCAGCTCCACAGTATGATGAGGACGAGTTGGATGTTAACCATGAGCTGTTTTCAATTGAGCCCAAAACTCCTGATGCTGTGTACTTTTGCTCCATCGAGCCGCCCAGCCTATCAACTCAAACAGCCATGGAACAAGCGCTCAAACAACTCCAGCGTGAAGATCCCAGTTTGCGGGTAAGCTACGATCCCGTCACTGGGCAGACTGTACTTGGCGGCATGGGTGAATTACATATGGACATCATCAAGTCGCGTCTGCTAAGTGAGTACAAAATTGATGTTGATCTGGGTCCGCTACAAATTGCCTACAAGGAGGCTATCGAAACGCCGGCCATAACAACCTTAAGTGTGGAGAAAGATATTGCGGGCAGTAAGCAAAATGTGAATATAACCCTACAACTGACCAATAATCAGAAAGAGCTCTTCAGGTATGTCCGCACTGGGTCATTCTTTGGGAATTCACTAAATTAATTTCCTTTAAAGCTTAGATAAATCGCCAGAGAACGTTCAAAATCTCAATGCACTGCGTCCTCGGGTCCTTCAAGTGCTGCGAAAAGGAGCAATCGGTGCTTTGGAGCGGGGACCACGTGTTGGCGGTCAAGTTGTAGATACTCAAATACGTCTGCACAATGTCACTGTGGGACGGGGCACTGCCGATTCGTTTATCATGGCCGCGGCGGCACAGTGCGTGCAAAAGGTGTGTCCTTATTCAAATTTATTTTAATTATGTTACATTTGATTTGTTTGTTGCAGCTGCTGAGTAAAAGCGGCACACGGCTTCTGGAGCCCATCATGGCCATGCAAATTGTGGCGCCCAATGAACGTATATCTGGGATTATAGCGGATCTCTCTAGGCGGCGCGCGCTTATAAAAGACGTAGTGCCCAAGGGAGATAGGAATAAGGTAAGTTTATAAGATTAATTTGCTTTAATCAGTAGATAATCATCTTTTAGCTCATTTTGGTGAATGCCCCCTTGGCGGAGCTCTCCGGATATTCCAGTGCGCTGCGAACCATTAGCTCCGGCACGGCCAGCATGACAATGCAACCCTGTGGTTATTCGGAAATGAACGCCGCGGATGAATCGTTAGCCGTACGCCGAGCCCAGGGATTAGACTAACATAATTCTGCCCAATTTATTGTCTACTTTTATTTAACGTAGATCACAGTAAGCTGGGTTGGGAAGCTTAGAAGTTCTTAGTACATTACTAAATAGTATAGTACAAAGGAAAATGTGAAAATTATCGCACGTGGAAAATTATAAAATTTGGTGATAAAATTGATGTCGTTCTTTTTTTCGGTTAAATTCTTTAAACGGTCCATACGTTGACATTACGAAATATACTGAAAGTTTTCTTCTATTTAAGTTATAAACTACCGTTGCACGCTTTTGGACGCTGCGGCATGGCATACTCTACACAGAAAGTGTTCTTTCATGTGCCGTTTATGAACGAGACGCTTGAATTTTATTGCCAAGATCCATGTGTTAAGCTTAAAAGTTATCCATCTACAATCGATGATCGCTCGTGGGCAGCCAGTGACGATAAAAAGTCACGTTTTGTGTCCGATCTTGTAAGTTGCAATACACCGTCGATCCGGCGCAAGGATGAAAGTGGCGGAAATCAGAAGCCCGGTCCGGCAGGCCAAGACTATCCACAGCAGCAGGACGGTTATGGAGGTCCAGAACAGGGACAGAACCAGGGAGGTTATGACGGCCAAGGACAGGACCAGGGCGGTTATGATCAAGGACAGGACCAGGGCGGTTATAATCAAGGACAGGACCCGGACGCTTATGAAGATCAAGGACAGGACCAGGGGGGCTACGGCGGTCCAGAACAAGATGGCCGGGGACAGGGCGGATGGAGTGGTTGAGACAAGAGCCGACACCAAAATTCTTAAGTTTGACGGTGATCAGGCCATTTCAGGGTCTAAAAGGCCGTGACGGCGCAGAATCAGGGTGGTAATGTCAGGAGTGTCAAGGCCCGAACGATCTGGGAGGAAGACCAAGTATTAGTCCAATGCGCCTCAGGATGGCCACATAAAAGAAACCAGACTCTAGGCGTACTAAGCTACAGAGGTGCGCGGCGGGGTCGAAGCCCGGGAAGACGAAGTTGAGATGAACTAGACGACTTAAAAAGCACACGAGGCACGAAAAGCATTTATATAGAATCGCGATTGGTCCAGTAAAAAGGACCGTCTACTTTTTCTAAAAGTTCGTAATACTGCTTAAGCCTGAGGACGACTTTATGGTAGCAGGAGGGTCCACAAGAGGTGGTTATGTTGCTAATAGTCCTACAGGCCAAGGGCCTGGATGCTTTGGTGGTCCTGGTAAACAAGCGCCTGAAGCTTGTGGTCGTCCCGGTGGCTAGACATGCTGGCTGAGCGTCATTCATTTCGCGCAGGCTCGCTCGATAATGCTCCTATGCGCCTCTGCTGACCAAGCCAAGAGACTTAACGAACAGACCCGTTATATTTGTGACATGGAGAATAACATTCAGGAAATGCAGGATTTGCAAACACATTGGGCAAGTCCTAAAGGAAAGCCAGCAAGTATTGGTATTTTTTGCGGAAGCTAACATCAACTACTTTCAGTGCCGCTACAAGCGGCACTGCAGTGCACAGACCTTATGCAAATGAAAATCGATGGTTTACGCAACGAGTTGCGAAAAATTCGATTTCCCTTTTAATGCCTAAGGTTCCCAGTACTAGCAGCTAATGACTTGATTTTGATGTGTCGTTGCATGCCAAAGCATAAAACTGAGCGTTCAAGAAATCTGATAGTTGCAGTGATAGTTGTTTCAACGAGACAACATAAAGGATGATGAAGATATAACATGTTAATGCCGTGCTAAAAATGATTTTATGTCCCGCCCAAAAGACACTGAATACTTTTAAATCTCTAGTTGAATATAAAAAAATTATAAGTGCACAAATATGAATTAGTTGTACGGGATGGGAGGAAAGTCGTTCGGCTGCTTCTCTGGATTGCTGGCGGTTAAGCCTTCCGACTATTTCTTAAGCTCTCTAATGATTTTCCTCTTATCCCTTGTTTTATCCAGCGGTCATCAGTATCATTATAAAAGTGTTCACTGTCTGGAAGTTAGTTACACCAAAAGGATGACCAGATGTGTGATTTGTTATGGGAGAATGAGTGCATCTGCAAAGCTGCTCCGGAAAGTATTAAGTGCCTCAACCATTTGGATCAAAAGGTACGTCAGCTCAACGATACAAGATCCTATATGGGAAAGAATATTTTAATTATACAGGATAAAGCGATGTTACTAGGAAGCGATAGCTTAACGAACAAGACCAAAAGCTTGAAAGCAGAAAAATTAAGCGAAATAAAAACAGTTCGGGGAATGCGCGACAGGACGCTGAAACTTGTAGAAGAACTTTATAAATATATAAAATATTATTGAAATTGCCCCACAATTGTGAATAGCCCACAAATTTAATAAATCAATTATTGACATGGTCAAAAATGTCACTAAATCGATATAAATCCCATGAATAAAGGACCTAACCATTTACGATGATTTAATTTCTTTGCCGATGTTGGACATGATTTTGTCCAGAAGGCAGCATCTCTGATTCCATAAACTGTGTATGGAATAAAGCTGTATGCGACTCCATCTAGCTCTGAAGATGTCGGCGATGGATTTCTTCGTTGTCATTGTTGCTTTGCGGATTGCATTCTTTTTGTCCTTTTAACGCCTTTTTTCGCCAATGTGAAAGTGCGTCGTCTCAACAAGAACTACTTTTGCTCGCTTAGTGCTCCTCGTAAAAATACGAATATTAATAATTAATATTAATCAATAATTCGTGTGTATCCCAAATGTTTTGTGAGTATTCACAAAATTATTATCGACCAATGCCGCGATACATCGCCGGAGAACGTCCCTCTATTCTTCATGGCTGCGAAAAGGAGCAATCAATGCGTTGGAGCGCGGACCTCACTTTGGCGGTCACGCTGTAGATACTCAGATACGCTTGCACATTGTCACTGTGTGACGTGTAGGTGCTGCTTACATTTGTTTTTAATTTACGTTAGGTACGTTTTTGCGATGTACGGCCGACGGATTCTCTATTCTTCCATTTAACATGTATCACAGTAAGCTGGGTACTAGCTGAATACCTTTATGCTTCATACAATTTGTTAGTACATTACAGAATTATACAGTACAGTAACAAATGTGAAAATTGTCGCACGTGGAATATTAGAAAATTTGGTGATACAATTGATGTCGGACGTATTTTCGATACTACTTTTTAAACTGTCCAGCCATAAACATTTCAAAAGAAAAAATTGAAATTTGTGTTTTAAAATAATTCGCTTTGTAAACTCGACCGGTGCAAGCTCTTGGACGCTGCGGCATGGCGTTCTCTACGCAGAAAGAATTTTTCCATGTGCCGTTTATGAACGAGACGCTTGAGTTTGATTGCCAGGACGCTTGTGTTAAGTTAAAAAGCTATCCATCTACATTCGATGATCGCTCGTGGTCAGCCGATGAGGACAAAAAGTCACGTTTTGTGTCCGATCTGGTAGCTTGCAATACACCGTTAATTTTGCGCCAAGATGACGGGAGTGGTGGCCCCGGCGGTGGCGCACCTGGTGGCAGAGCGGGTTATGGGCCTGGCGGCAGAGCTGCCAGTGGACCTGGAGGCAGAGGTCGCACCGGACCTGATTATGATGGACCAACTGGCGGCAAAGCGGGAAAGCCTGGTCAGAGAGGGCAGGACTATGGTAGAGCACCTACGGGTAAGCGTGGACAGGGGCCCGGGGGCTACGGAGATCCAGGACAGCAAGGACCAGGTGGTCGGGGTGGTCCGGGTGAAGGCCAAGGCCCAGGTGGACGAAGCAAAGGGGGTCCTGGACAGGCAAGCCAGGGCCCGGGAGGCCGGGGAGGAGGTCCAGGACAGGGCCCAGGTCGTTATGGTGGTCCCGGAGCAGATGGGCAGGGTCCAGGTGGATGGGGTGGTGGTGGTCCCGGCCAGGGACGACAGGCTGGTCGACGTGGTTCTAGCGTTCCTGGACAGGGTGGTGATCGGGACGGTTACGGAGGACCGGAAGGGGCAGGTCCAGGTCAGGGTCCAGGTGGTCGAGGTGTCGCTGGACCAGGTCAGGCTGGATATGGAGGTCCGGGGCAGGGAGGCCAAGGGCCTGGCGGTCGGGGCGGAACTGGGCAGGGCCCGAATGAATATGGTGTTCCGGGACAACAGAGACAGGGGCAAGGAGGTCCAGGACAAGGAGGTCGAGGCGGGCCTGGCCCAGACCAGGGACAGGGCCAGGGACCAGGGGGTCGAGGTGGACCTGGGCCAGGGCAAGAGGGCCAAGGGCCAGGCGGACGTGGGGGACCTGGACCAGGTCAGGTCGGATATGGAGCTCCAGGACCAGGACAGGCTGGCTATGGTGGTCCGGGTCAACAAGGCCAGGGGCCAGGAGGTCCTGGTCAACAGGGACAGGGGCCAGGTAGTCCGGGTCAACAGGGCCAGGGGCCAAGGGGTCCGGGCCAACAGGGAGAAGGGCCAGGACAGGCCGGCTATGGCGGACAGGGTCAGGGGCCAGGTGGTCCGGGCCAGGGACCAGGCGGTCGAGGAGCAGCTGGGCCAGGATCAGATGGCCAGGGACCAGGAGGTCGTGGTGGAGCTGGGCCGGACCAGGCCGGTTATGGTGGTCCGGGTCAAGACGGCCAGGGGCCAGGTGGTCGAGGAGCAGCTAGGCCAGGACAAGAAGGCCAGGGACCAGGCGGTCGGGGACCTGCTCCAGGTCAGGCCAGCTATGGAGGCCCGGGTCAGCAAGGCGAAGGGTCAGGTGGTCCGGGCCAAAGGCCAGGTGGTCCGGGTCAACAAGGCCAAGGGCCAGGTGGTCCGGGTCAACAAGGTCAAGGGCCAGGTGGTCCGGGTCAACAAGGCCAAGGGCCAGGTGGTCCGGGTCAACAAGGCCAAGGGCCAGGCGGTCGAGGCGGAGCTGGGCCCGGCCAAGCAGGTTATGGAGGTCCGGGTCAACAGGGCCAAGGAGGTACAGATCAACAGGGCCAGGGCCCTGGAGGTCGAGGTGGAGCTGGCCCTGGTCAGCCTGGCTATGGACAGGACGGTCAGGGTCCAGGCGGTCGGGGAGGTCCTGCTACAGGCCAGGCCGGTTATGGTGGTCCGGGTCAACAGGGCCAGGGGCCAGGTGGTCCGGGTCAACAGGGCCAGGGGCCAGGTGGTGCGGGTCAACCGGATCAGGGCCCAGGAGGTCGAGGCGGAGCTGGCCCAGGTCAGCCTACCTATGGACAAGACGGTCAGGGTCCAGGCGGTCGGGGAGCTCCTGCTACAGGTCAGGCTGGATATGGTGGACCGGGACAACAGGGCCAAGGGCCAGGTGGTCCGGGTCAACAGGGCCAAGGTCCGGGTGGTTCGGGTCAACAGGGTCAAGGGCCAGGTGGTCCGGGCCAACAGGGCCAAGGGCCAGGTGGTCCGGGTCAACAGGGCCAGGGCCCAGGAGGTCGAGGCGGACCTGCTCCTGGCCAGGCCGGCTATGGAGGTCCTGGACAGGCAGGCCAAGGGCCAGGAGGTCCAGGTCAACAGGGCCAAGGGCCAGGTGATCGAGGCGTAGCTGGGCCAGCCCAATCCGGATATGGAGGTCCAGGACAACAGGGACAAGGTCGAGGTGGACCTGGTCAACAAGGCCAGGGCCCAGGTGGTCAGGGTCAGGGGCCAGGAGGTCCTGGTCAACAAGGCCAAGGTGCAGGTGGTCGAGGTGGACCTGGGCCAGGCCAGGCCGGCTATGGAAGTCCTGGTCAACAGGGACAGGGGCCAGGTGGTCAAGGTGGAGCTGGGCCGGGCCAGGCCGGCTATGGAGGTCCTGGTCAACAGGGACAGGGGCCAGGTGGTCAAGGTGGAGCTGGGCCGGGCCAGGCCGCTTATGGAGGTCCAGGACAAGGACAGGGGCCTGGAGGTGCAGGTCAACAAGGCCAGGGTCCAGGTGGTCGTGGAGGACCTGGGCCAGGGCAGGCCGGCTATGGAGCTCCTGGACAACAAAGCCAGGGGCCAGGAGGTCCTGGTCAACAAGGCCAGGGGCCAGGTGATCGAGGCGTAGCTGGGCCAGCCCAAGCCGGTTATGGAGGTCCAGGGCAAGAGGCACAGGATCGAGGCGGACCCGGGCCAGGTCAGACTGGCTATGGAGGTCCGGGTCAACAAGGCCAGGGCCCAGGTGGTCAGGGTCAAGGGCCAGGAGGTCCGGGTCAACAAGGCCAGGGGCCAGGCGCACGAGGTGGGCCTGCACCAGGCCAGGCCGGCTTGGCAGGACCAGGACAAGAGGGACCGGGGCGAGGAGGACCCGGACCAGGCCAGGCCGGCTATGGAGGACCGGGTCAACAAGGCCAGGGGCCAGGTGGTCGCGGTGGACCTGTTCCAGGTCAGCCTGGATATGGAGCTCCAGGACAAGATCAGGGGCCAGGAGGACGAGGTGGTCCTGGTCCAGGTCAAGCTGGATATGGAGGTCCAGGACAAGAGGGTCAGGTTCGTGGAGGACCCGGGCCAGGTCAGGCTGGCTATGGAGGTCCGGGTCAACAAGGCCAAGGCCCAGGTGGTCAGGGTCAGGGGCCAGGAGGTCCGGGTCAACAAGGCCAGGGGCCAGGCGCTCGAGGTGGGCCTGCACCAGGCCAGGCCGGCTTGGCAGGACCAGGACAAGAGGGACCAGGGCGAGGAGGACCCGGACCAGGCCAGGCCGGCTATGGAGGACCGGGTCAACAAGGCCAGGGGCCAGGTGGTCGAGGGGGACCTGGTCAACAGGGCCAGGGGCCGGGAGGTCAAGGACCTATGGCGGGCCAAGCCGGATATGGCGGTCCGGGACAAGAAGGCCAGGGGCCAGGAGGTCGTGGTGGACCTGGTCCAGGTCAGGCCGGATATGGTCCAGGACAAGAAGCACAGGGTCGAGGAGGACCTGGGCCAGGCCAGGCTGGCTATGGAGGTCCGGGTCAACAAGGCCAAGGCCCAGGTGGTCAGGGTCAGGGGCCAGGAGGTCCGGGTCAACAAGGCCTGGGGCCAGGCGCTCGAGGTGGACCTGGGCCAGGCCAGGCCGGCTTGGCAGGTCCAGGACAAGAGGGACCAGGGCGAGGAGGACCCGGACCAGGCCAGGCCGGCTATGGAGGACCGGGTCAACAAGGCCAGGGGCCAGGTGGTCGAGGGGGACCTGGACCTGGTCAACAGGGCCAGGGGCCGGGAGGTCAAGGACCTATGGCGGGCCAAGCAGGATATGGCGGTCCGGGACAAGAAGGCCAGGGGCCAGGAGGTCGTGGTGGACCTGGTCCAGGTCAGGCCGGATATGGTCCAGGACAAGAAGCACAGGGTCGAGGCGGACCTGGGCCAGGCCAGGCTGGCTATGGAGGTCCGGGTCAACAAGGCCAAGGCCCAGGTGGTCAGGGTCAGGGGCCAGGAGGTCCGGGTCAACAAGGCCAGGGGCCAGGCGCTCGAGGTGGGCCTGCACCAGGCCAGGCCGGCTTGGCAGGACCAGGACAAGAGGGACCAGGGCGAGGAGGACCCGGACCAGGACAGGCTGGCTATGGAGGACCGGGTCAACAAGGCCAGGGGCCAGGAGGTCGAGGAGGACCTGGACCTGGTCAACAGGGCCAGGGGCCGGGTGGTCAAGGACCTATGGCGGGCCAAGCAGGATATGGTGGTCCGGGACAAGAAGGCCAGGGGCCAGGAGGTCGTGGTGGACCTGGTCCAGGTCAGGCCGGATATGGTCCAGGACAAGAAGCACAGGGTCGAGGCGGACCTGGGCCAGGCCAGGCTGGCTATGGAGGTCCGGGTCAACAAGGCCAAGGCCCAGGTGGTCAGGGTCAGGGGCCAGGAGGTCCGGGTCAACAAGGCCAGGGGCCAGGCGCTCGAGGTGGGCCTGCACCAGGCCAGGCCGGCTTGGCAGGACCAGGACAAGAGGGACCAGGGCGAGGAGGACCCGGACCAGGACAGGCTGGCTATGGAGGTCCGGGTCAACAAGGCCAGGGGCCAGGCGCTCGAGGCGCACCTGTTCCTGGACAAGCCGGATATGGAGGTCCGGGACAAGAGGGTCAGGGTCCAGGCGGTCGAGGCGGGCCCGTTCCAGGCCAGGCCGGTTATGTTGGTCCCGGAAAAGAGGGTCAGGGTCCTGCCGGTAGAGGTCAAGAAGGGCAAGAGCCAGGCCCAGGTGGTCGAGGAGAACCTATGCCAGGACAAGCCGGATATGGAGGTGCTGGAAAAGAAGCCCAGGGTCCAGGAGGTCGAGGCGGGCCTGGGCCAGGACAAGCCGGATATGGTGGTCCAGGTCAAGAGGGTCAGGGTCCAGGCGGTCGAGCCGGACCAATGCCAGGACAAGCTGGATATGGAGGTCCTGGAAGAGAAGGCCAGGGTCCAGGAGGTCGAGGCGGACCTGGGCCAGGACAAGTCGGATATGGTGCTCCAGGACAAGAGGGTCAGGGTCCAGGCGGTCGAGGCGGACCTGCTCCTGGACAAACCGGATATGGAGGTCCGGGACAAGAGGGCCAGGGTCCAGGCGGTCGAGGCGGGCCCGTTCCAGGCCAGGCCGGTTATGTTGCTCCCGGAAAAGAGGCCCAGGGTCCTGTCGGTAGAGGTGGTGGTCCAGCCCAAGAAGGGCAAGGGGCAGGACCAGGTGGTCGAGGAGAACCTATGCCAGGACAAGCCGGATATGGAGGTCCTGGAAAAGAAGGCCAGGGTCCAGGAGGTCGAGGCGGGCCTGGGCCAGGACAAGCCGGATATGGTGCTCCAGGACAAGAAGGTCAGGGTCCAGGTGGTCGAGCCGGACCAATGCCAGGACAAGCCGGATATAGTGGTCCTGGAAGGGAGGGCCAGGCTCCAGGTGGTCGAGGGGGACCTGGACCAGGACAAGTCGGTTACGGAGGTCCGGGACAAGAGGGCCAGGGTCCAGGCGGTCGAGGCGGACCTGGTCCTGGACAAGCCGGATATGGAGGTCCCGGTCAAGAGGGTCAGGGTCCAGGCGGTCGAGGCGGACCTGGTCCTGGACAAGCTGGATATGGAGGTCCCGGACAAGAGGGTCAGGGTTTAGGCGGTCGAGGCGGACCTGGTCCTGGACAAGTCGGATATGGAGGTCCGGGACAAGAGGGCCAGAGTCCAGGCGGTCGAGGCGGACCTGGTCCTGGACAAGCCGGATATGGAGGTCCCGGACAAGAGGGTCAGGGTCCAGGTGGTCGAGCCGGACCAATGCCAGGACAAGCCGGATATGGTGGTCCTGGAAGGGAGGGGCAGGCTCCAGGTGGTCGAGGGGGACCTGGACCAGGACAAGTCGGTTATGGAGGTCCGGGACAAGAGGGCCAGGGTCCAGGCGGTCGAGGCGGACCTGGTCCTGGACAAGCCGGATATGGAGGTCCCGGACAAGAGGGTCAGGGTCCAGGTGGTCGAGGGGGACCTGGACCAGGACAAGTCGGTTATGGAGGTCCGGGACAAGAAGGCCAGGGTCCAGGCGGTCGAGGCGGACCTGGGCCAGGACAGGCGGGTTATGTTGGTCCTGGAAAAGAGGGCCAGGGTCCAGGCGGTCGAGGTGGTGGTCCAGGCCAAGAAGGGCAAGGGCCAGGGACAGGGCCAGGTGGTCGAGGAGAACCTATGCCAGGGCAAGCCGGATATGGAGGTCCTGGAAAAGAAGGCCAGGGTCCAGGAGGTCGAGGCGGACCTGGGCCAGGTCAAGCCGGATATGGTGGTCCAGGACAAGAGGGTCAGGGTCCAGGCGGTCGAGCCGGGCCAATGCCAGGACAAGCCGGATATGGTGGTCCTGGAAGGGAGGGCCAGGCGCCAGGTGGTCGAGGCGGACCTGGACCAGGACAAGTCGGTTATGGAGGTCCGGGACAAGAGGGCCAGGGTCCAGGCGGTCGAGGCGGACCTGGCCCAGGACAAGCCGGATATGGTGGTCTAGGGCAAGAGGGTCAGGGTCCAGGCGGTCGAGCCGGGCCAATGCCAGGACAAGCCGGTTATGGTGGTCCCGGAAAAGAGGGCCAGGCTCAAGGTGGTCGAGGCGGACCTGGACCAGGACAAGCCGGCTATGGAGGTCCGGGACAAGAAGGCCAGGGTCCAGGCGGTCGAGGCGGACTTGGGCCAGGACAGGCGGGTTATGTTGGTCCCGGAAAAGAGGGCCAGGGTTCAGGCGGTCGAGGTGGTGGTCCAGGCCAAGAAGGGCAAGGGCCATGGACAGGGCAAGGTGGTCGAGGAGAACCTATGCCAGGACAAGCCGGATATGGAGGTCCTGGAAAAGAAGGCCAAGGTCCAGGTGGTCGAGGCGGACCTGGACCAGGACAAGCCGGATATGGTCCGGGACAAGAAGGTCAGGGTCCAGGCGGTCGAGGCGGACCTGGGCCAGGACAAGCCGGGTATGGAGGTCCGGGACAAGAGGGTCAGGGTCCAGGAGGTCGAGCCGGACCAATGCCAGGACAAGCCGGATATGGTGGTCCTGGAAGGGAGGGTCAGGCTCCAGGTGGACGAGGTGGGCCTGGACCAGGTCAAGCCGGATATGGAGGTCCGGGGCAGGAGGGCCAGGCTGCAGGTGGGCGAGGCGGACCCAGTCCAGGACAGACGGGATATATTGGTCCCGGAAAAGAGGGCCAGGGTCCAGGCGGTCGAGGTGGTGGTCCCGGCCAAGAAGGGCAAGGGCCAGGGACAGGGCCAGGTGGTCGAGGAGAACCTATGCCAGGACAAGCTGGATATGGAGGTCCTGGAAGAGAAGGGCAAGGTCCAGCAGGTCGGGGCGGACTTGGACCAGGACAAGCCGGATATGGTGGCCCGGGACAAGAAGGCCAGGGTCCAGGCGGTCGAGGCGGGCCTGGGCCAGGACAAGCCGGATATGGTGCTCCGGGGCAAGAGGGCCAGGGTCCAGGTGGTCGAGGCGGACCAGGGCCAGGGCAAGCCGGATATGGAGGTCCTGGACAAGGGCAAGGGCCTGGCGGTAGAGGCGGACTTGGCCCGGGTCAGGCCGGGTATGTTGGTCCAGGACAAGAGGGCCAGGGTCCAGGTGGTCGAGGCGGACCAGGGCCAGGACAAGCCGGATATGGAGGTCCAGGCAGGGAGGGTCAGGCTCCAGGTGGACGAGGTGGACCTGGACCAGGACAAGCCGGATATGGAGGTCTGGGACAAGAGGGTCAGGGTCCAGGTGGTCGAGGCGGACCAGGGCCAGGACAAGCCGGATTTGCAGGTCCGGGACAAGAGGGCCAGGGTCCAGGCGGTCGAGGCGGGCCCGTTCCAGGCCAGGCCGGTTATGTTGGTCCCGGAAAAGAGGGCCAGGGTCCTGCCGGTAGAGGTCAAGAAGGGCAAGGGCCAGGACCAGGTGGTCGAGGAGAACCTATGCCAGGACAAGCCGGATATGGAGGTCCTGGAAAAGAAGGCCTGGGTCCAGGAGGTCGAGGTGGACCTGGGCCAGGACAAGCCGGATATGGTGCTCCAGGACAAGAGGGCCAGGGTCCAGGTAGTCGAGGCGGACCGGGGCCAGGACAAGCCGGATATGGAGGTCCAGGACAAGGTCAAGGGCCAGGTGGTAGAGGCGGACTTGGCCCGGGTCAGGCCGGGTATGTTGGTCCCGGAAAAGAGGGCCAGGGTCCTGGTCAGGCCGGCTTTGGAGGTCCAGGACAAGAAGGGCAGGGACCAGGTGGTAGACGCGGACCTGGACCAGGACAAGCTGGATATGGTGCCCCAGGACAAGAGGGCCAGGGTCCAGGTGGTCGAGGCGGACCAGGGCCAGGACAAGCCGGATATGGAGGTCCAGGGCAAGAGGGCCCGGGTCAGGCCGGGTATGTTGGTCCCGGAAAAGAGGGCCAGGGTCCAGGTCGAGGTGGACCTGGGCCTGGTCAGGCCGGCTATGGTGGTCCAGGACAAGGGCAGTGGCTAGGCGATAGAGGCGGGCCTATGCCAGGACAAGCTGGCTATGGAGGTCTTGGTAAAGAAGGCCAGGGACCAGGCGGTCGAGGCGGACCCGTGCCAGGACAAGCTGGATATGGAGGTCCGGGACAAGAGGGCCAGGGTCCAGGCGGTCGAGGCGGACCTGGGCCAGGCCAAACCGGATATGGAGGTCCTGGACAAGGGCAAGGGCCTGGTGGTAGAGGCGGACTTGGCCCGGGTCAGGCAGGGTATGTTGGTCCCGGAAGAGAGGGCCAGGGTCCAGGTCAGGCCGGCTTTGGAGGTACAGGACAAGAAGGGCAGGGACCAGGTGGTAGACGCGGACCTGCGCCAGGACAAGCCGGATATGGAGGTCCAGGGCAAGAGGGCCAGGGTCCAGGCGGACGAGGTGGACCTGGGCCAGGACAAGCCGGATATGGAGGTCCGGGACCAGAAGGTCAAGGACCAGGCGGTAGAGGCGGACTTGGCCCGGGTCAGGCCGGGTATGTTGGTCCCGGAAAAGAGGGCCAGGGTCCAGGTCGAGGTGGACCTGTTCCAGGTCAGGCCGGATATGGTGCTCCAGGACAAGAAGGGCAAGGGCCAGGCGGTAGAGGCGGACCCATGCCAGGACAACCTGGCTATGGAGGTCCTGGGCAAGAGGGCCAGGGTCCTGGTGGTCGAGGCGGACCTGGCCCAGGCCAGGCCGGCTATGCTGGTCCAGGACAAGAGGGCCAGGGTCCAGGTCGAGGTGGACCAGGGCCAGGTCAGGCTGGATATGGCGGTCCAGGACAAGAAGGGCAGTGGCCAGGTGGAAGAGGCGGACCCATGCCAGGACAGCCCGGCTATGGAGGTCCAGGAAGAGAAGGCCAGGGCCGAGGCGGACCTTTGCCAGGTCAAGCCGGATATGGAGGTCCTGGGCAAGAGGGCCAGGGTCCAGGCGGTCGAGGCGGACCTGGGCCAGGCCAGGCCGGGTATATTGGTCCCGGAAAGGAGGGCCAGGGTCCAGGTCGAGGTGGACCTGGGCCAGGTCAGGCTGGATTTGGCGGTCCAGGACAAGAAGGGCAGTGGCCAGGTGGTAGAGGCGGACCCATGCCAGGACAACTCGGCTATGGAGGTCCTGGAAAAGAAGGCCAGGGCCGTGGCGGACCTTTGCCAGGTCAAGCCGGATATGGAGGTCTTGGGCAAGAGGGCCAGGGTCCTGGTGGTCGAGGCGGACCTGGGCCAGGCCAAGCCGGCTATGCTGGTCCAGGACAAGAGGGCCAGGGTCCAGGTCGAGGTGGACCTGGGCCAGGTCAGGCTGGATATGGCGGTCCAGGACAAGAAGGGCAGTGGCCAGGTGGTAGAGGCGGACCCATGCCAGGACAACTTGGCTATGGAGGTCCTGGAAAAGAAGGCCAGGGCAGAGGCGGACCTTTGCCAGGTCAAGCCGGATATGGAGGTCTTGGGCAAGAGGGCCAGGGTCCTGGTGGTCGAGGCGGACCTGGCCCAGGCCAAGCCGGCTATGCTGGTCCAGGACAAGAGGGCCAGGGTCCAGGTCGAGGTGGACCTGGGCCAGGTCAGGCTGGATATGGTGGTCCAGGACAAGGGCAGTGGCCAGGTGGAAGAGGCGGCCCTATGCCAGGACAAGCCGGTGATGGAAGTCTTGGAAAAGAAGCTCAGGGTCCTGGTGCTCGAAGCGGACCTGGTCCAGGTCAGGCCGGCTATGGTGGTCCAGGACCAGGGCTAGGGCCAGGAGGCCGAGGTGGGCCTATGCCAGGACAAGTCGGATATGGAGGTCCTGGACAAGAAGGCCAGGGTCCTGGTCGTCGAGGCGGACCTGGGCCAGGTCAGGCCGGCTATGGTGGTCCAGGACAAGAAGGGCAGTGGCCAGGCGATAGAGGCGGGCCTATGCCAGGACAAGCTGGCTATGGAGGTCTTGGTAAAGAAGGCCAGGGTCCAGGAGACCGAGGCGGACCTATGCCAGGACAAGGTGTATATGGTGGTCCAGGACAGGAGGGCCAGGGTCCGGGCGGCCGAGGCGGACTTGTTCCAGGCCAGGCCGGTTATGTTGGTCCCGGAAAAGAGGGCCAGGGCCCAGGTCGAGGTGGAACTGGGCCAGGCCAGGCCGGTTATGGGGGTCCAGGACAAGGACAGTGGCCAGGGGATAGAGGCGGGCCTATGCCTGGACAACCCGGCTATGGAGAATTTGGAAAAGGTCAGGGCCCAGGAGGCCGAGGCGGACCTACGCCAGGACAAGCCGGATATGGAGGTCCAGGACAGGAGGGACAGGGGCCTGGTGGTCGAAGGCCTGGTCAGGCCGGCTATGGTGGTCCAGGACAAGAAGGGCAGGGTCCAGGTGGTCGAGGCGGACCTGGTACAGGACGAGCTGGCTATGGAGGTCCAGGACAAGAAACAATGGGTCCCGGCGGTCGAGGTGGAGTTGGACAAGGTCAGGCCGGATATGGAGGGCCGGGGCAAGGGCCAGAAGGTCGCGGTGGGGCTGGTCCGGGGCAAGGGCCAGAAGGAATTGGACCGGGCCAGGCCGGCTATGGAGGTCCTGGAGCAGGTCAGGCCGGCTATGGAGGTCCTGGAGCAGGTCAGGCCGGCTATGGAGGACCAGGAGAAGAAGGAATGCGTCCCGGAGGTCGCGCTGGCGCTGGACCAGGTCAAGCTGGATATGGCGGTCCAGGACAAGGGATAGGTCCAGGCGGTCGAGATGGAGCTGGGCCTGGCCAAGCCGGTTATGGAGGTCCAGGACAAGAAGGAATGGGTCCAGGTGGACGCGGCGGAGTTGGGCCAGGTCAGGCCGGATATAGAGGGCCGGGGCAAGGGCCAGAAGGAATTGGACCAGGTCAGGCCGGCTATGGAGGTCCTGGACCAGGTCAGGCCGGCTATGGAGGTCCTGGACCAGGTCAGGCCGGCTATGGAGGTCCTGGACCAGGTCAGGCTGGATATGGAGGGCCAGGAGAAGGTATGGGTCTCGGAGGTCGCGTTGGCGCTGGACCAGGGCAGGCCGGATATGGCGGTCCGGGTCAGCAGGGTCAAGGACCAGGCGGCATTGGTGTTACTGACATATCTGGACAAGACAGCGGTCGTGGAAGCTATCCAGGTAGTGGTCGTGACGGTTACGGTGGTCCCGATGGACAAGGAGGGCCTGGAGGTTTTGGTGGTCCCGGTGGACAGGGCCCTGGAGATTTTGGTGGATCCGGTAGACGGGGTCCTGGAGGTCCTGGAGGTCCTGGAGGTTCTGGAGGTTCTGGAGGTCCTGGAGGTCCTGGAGGTCCTGGAGGTCCTGGAGGTCCTGGAGGTCCTGGAGGTCCTGGAGGTCCTGGAGGTCCTGGAGGTCGTAGAGGTCGTGGAGGTCCTGAAGCACGCTCTGGTGGAAAACTTGTGGTGGGTGACAGCCTTATCAACGCTGCGGACGACACCATTGAAAACATGAAGAAGGTAATGATTGACAACAAATTACTCGACAAAGATCTGGCCGAGACCCGAGATCGCGTGGGCGGCACTAAAACAGGAAATGCTGAACTCCAACGTATAATGGAACAGCGCTACGACCCCGAAATGAGCAAGGTGTTTGAGAATAAAATTCAAGACCTATCAGACGCTAGAAAGATCGATAACAACGATGAGAGGGATCTCAGACACATCCATAAATCCGTCGATGATATGAATAAATCTCATGATATTCTCGAATCGGAAAATGCAAACCTTAGACGACTTCTGGAAAAGCAGTCCAGGCGATGTTCGATGGACAGCATTAGGATTGATCCAGAAAAAAGCAACGATGTCAATTATTTACAAAATAAGATCGACAATATGGGTAAGGAGTTGGCAATACTGCGTCAAGCTGAGGACGAATTTATAAGAGCGGGGGGAGCCACGGAAGGCGGTTATGGAGGTCTTGGTGGACCAGACATGGATGTTGACACACTTCAAACCATGTTGGCTGAGCGTGAATCACTACGCGCAAAGATTAAAAACCTAGGTTCGCTCCATAATAAGGTTAAAGGTTCGAAGAAGAAGGTGTGCCTAGCAGAATGTGCCTCTGCTGATCTAGTCAAAAGTCTTAATGAACAAAATCAGTATATTTGTGACATGGAGAATGACATTCAGGAAATGCAGCAATACTATGAAACTGAGGTGGAGCAGTCCAAGTACAATGAAGAAGTCCTTAAGGTAAGTCAGCATTTCTGGGTGTTTTGTAATCGAGAGCTAACATCAATTACTTTCAGTGCCGCTGCAATGAGCTTCAACAACAAGTGGTGACCCTCCAGCCGGCGCTGCAGCGCGCGGACCTTATGCAAATGGAAATCGATGTTTTACGCAATGAGCTGCGAAAACGTGACTTGGCTTTGAATGCCTACGATTGCCAGTACCAGCAGCTTATGGTAAGCATTTTTAATCAGAGGGTGTTTCCAATTTTATGTGTCTCTATGTATCCCAAAGCATAAAACTAAAGCGTTCAAGAAATCTGGGTATCGTTACCTAGACGAATTGATAGAAAGTTGCAGTGATAGTTGTTTCAAGGACTCTGGGAAAGAGGATAATGGAGATATAACATGTTAATGCCGTGCCAAAAATGATTTTATGTCCTGCCCAAAATAACCTTTCATGATTTTAAATCTGTAGTTAAAATTTTAAAAATTATAAGTGCACAGATATGAAATAGCCATAAAACATGAACGGGGTGAGAGGAAAGTCGTTAGGGTACGTCTCTGGATTGTTAGCGGCTTAATCACATGTATATTCTCCCTTCCTCTTTCTCAAGCGCTCTCAAAAAGTTTCAATCCACTACTACTTATAATGATTTTCCTCTCTAATCCCTTGCTTTATATTTTACACACATTCTACTCATTCTAGACCGTCATCTGTGAGCTCAATCAAAAGTACGGAAATCAGCGTGGTGACTGTCCCTCATTTGATTTACCAGACTGTCCCGATGTAGGCGATGATTTAGCCTTTTACACGAGCGCCACTTTGGAACTTATCATGGACGAAATGAGCAAACAGGCTGATTGCTTTAAGCATATGAACGAGGATAAGTATTCCGGCGGTCAGAATATCAACAATTTAGAAGACTGCATGAATGAGCTGGATCGACTGCGTAATTTGTTAAATGAAAAGGACGGCCAGTTGGGCGATTTGATTGAGGAGAATGAGTGCATGTGCGAAGCTGCTCTGCAAAGCAACAAGCGACTTAACCAATTGGATAAAAAGGTTCGTCAACTTGATAATGACACAAAGTATATGGAGGAAGGTATGCGCGAGAGCATTGGATTAATACAGGACATTGGTGATGTTGCCAGGGAAAACGATAGGTTGAAGGATAAAGTTAACAACTTGAAAGAAGCTGAACTTCAAGCTCTGACTGATGATTTGAAGAAACAGCTTGAGGATTGCATGAAGAGTAAACAACTTTGCGAAGAAATAAATAAAAGGTATAGAGAAGCATTGCAGGACCTTGGAGGGGATCCTGACGCTATTGAAAAAGAAGCTAAACAAAAAATGGAGGAACAATGGAAGGCCGAAGCAGCTGAGAAAGCGGCCGAAGAAGCTGAAAAAGCAGCCGAAGCTAAAAAAGCTGCCGAAGAAGTGAAAAAAGAAGCCGAAGATGCTAAATTTAAAGAAGAAGCAAAATTGTACGAAAAAGTTATGACACCGACAGGAATAGTGGAAAGATTGATTGAGAAACCGGAAGGGGTGGCCAGACAGATACCAGCTGAAAGACCAGAAGAATCTGGAGCTAAGCCTGGTGCTGGTGATACAGCAGAGATTCAACCTAGTGCCATGCCCACAGATACAGCAGCTGATCAACCAGGTGCGGGGCCACAGGATAGAATAGTCAGTCAACCAGGTGCAGAGCCACAGGATAAAACAAGCGCGCAACCAGGTGCAAAGCCTCAAGATACAGCCGCCGCCCAACCGGGTGGTAAGCCTCAAGATACAGACGCCGCCCAACCGGGTGGTAAGCCTCAAGATACAGCAGCTGCTCAACCGGGTGCTAAGCCACAAGATACAGCAGCTGCTCAACCGGGTGTTAAGCCACAAGATACAGCCGCCGCTCAACCGGGTGCTAAGCCTCAAGATACAGCCGCCGCCCAACCGGGTGCTAAGCCTCAAGATACAGCCGCCGCCCAACCGAGTGCTAAGCCACAAGATACAGCCACCGCCCAACCGGGTGCTAAGCCACAAGATACAGCCGCCGCCCAACCGGGTGCTAAGCCACAAGATACAGCCGCCGCCCAACCGGGTGCTAAGCCACAAGATGCGGCAGCTGCTCAACCGGGTGCTAAGCCTCAAGATGCGGCAGCTGCTCAACCGGGTGCTAAGCCTCAAGATGCGGCAGCCGCTCAACCGGGAGCTAAGCCTCAAGATGCGGCAGCCGCTCAACAGGGAGCTAAGCCTCAAGATACAGCCGCCGCTCAGCCGGGAGCTAAGCCTCAAGATACAGCAGTCGCTCAGCCGGGTGCTAAGCCTCAAGATACAGCAGGCGCTCAGCCGGGAGCTAAGCCTCAAGATACAGCAGCCGCTCAGCCGGGTGCTAAGCCGCAAGATACGGCAGCTAGTAAGCCAGGTGCAAAGCCTCAAGATACGGCAGCTGCTCAACCGGGTGCAAAACCTCAAGATACGGCAGCTGCTCAACCGGGTGCAAAACCTCAAGATACGGCAGCTGCTCAACCGGGTGCAAAGCCCCAAGATACGGCAGCTAGTAAACCCGGTGCAAAGCCCCAAGATACAACAGCTGGTCAACCTGGTGCGAAGCCCCAAGATACAGCAGGTGGTCAACCCGGTGCAAAGCCCCAAGATACAGCAGGTGGTCAACCCGGTGCAAAGCCCCAAGATACAGGTGGTAAACCTGGTGCTAAACCTGGAGCTCCTCAGGTCGAAAAAACTGGAGGAACCGGACAGACCGGCGGGAAACCTGCACAACCTTCTGACGCCTCTGGCGATAAAGCTGGAGCACCTGGACCAGCCGGAAAACCTGCAGATAAACCTCCAGCAGCCGGCAAACCTGGAGATAAGCTAGTCGACAAGTCAGGAGCAGCTGCTCAACCTGCTGCTGCTTCTGCCGACAAGGCCGAAGCAGCTGGGAAAGCTGGACCTAAACCTGGCGATAAGCCCGGAAGAGCCGCACAGCCGGCTAGTGCCGATGAAGATAAGGCTGGACAGATTGATGCTGGGCCTGGAGATAAGGCTGGAGTAGCCGGACAACCTGATGCTGGACCTGGAGATAAACCCGGTGGAGCGGCTGGACAACCTAGCGATAAGCCCGGAAGAGCCGGCGGCCCAGCTGGTCAACCTAGTGATAAGCCCGGAAGAGCCGGCGGCCCAGCTGGTCAACCAGGAGCAACAGCTGGTGATAAGGCCGGTGCCAAGACTGGCGAAGGAGCGGGTAGGCAACCAGGCGCTAGAGTCGGAGGAGGACCCGGAGCAGCAGAAAAAACTGGTACAAGGCCTGGGGACGCAGGCGGCGGCCAACCTGCCGCTAAGGCCGGTGCTGCTGGAGGGGGAACACGGCAGGAACCCAAAGGTCTTGCCCAAAAGCCTGGCTTGCGCGCACCAGGCAGAGATATATACGGTGACGATGGTGATGACGGAACAGGTGTGAAACGCGGAGCAAAAGGTACTGGGCGCGGCAGAAAAAGTCAAAAACTAGATGACACCACTGAAGAGCAGTTCGATGAGTTTGTAAAGAATACTGTAAAAACATTATCCGCCGGCGAGATTGATGGTGTTGGTTTGGAAAGGGAGTTGCGCAAGATTTTGGATATGTTTATCGATGAGTGCGGATTCTGTTTCTGCAAGTGCAACATTCCGAAGAGCCGCTTCTATGCTATATGTCACAAGCTCTACCATCATGGGCTGCACACCCTAGAGTTCAAAGATTTGGCTTACATGCATAAGCGTATCTTTGCTGCGGCAGAAAACATTCTGCCTGGATGTCTTTTCAATATGATTATGAAAGATATACTGGCCACTAATCCACAGAGCCTAACACAGACGACCCCTTCAACTAACGTACCCGAAAAACAGTGTTGCACGTGCAAGAGCTCACTCTGTTGCGATGACACTGAGGAAAAACTTATGATAAAGGGTTCGTGGATGTCTTTTTTTTTTATTTTTATTATATTCTTTTGAACTTTCGTTTTTTTAGTAATGCGCCTTGAAAACGATATTGAGAATGCCAAATTATGCTTGAAGAATTTGAAAAATATTCCATCGAATCTCTCCATACATGATTATCGTATTGAGGCTGGCGATTGTCCGGCAAAGTAAGTAACAAACAAAATTGTATTCAATTCCCAAATTTTCAAAATTAATATTATTTCTCGAATTACAGGGACCGCGTCCTACGTTCTACGCGTGGGGGAAACTCCATTACCATTTACAAAGAAATTAAGCAGGCCCGACGTGCTAAGGTGATTTTTTGACATAAACACGGTAAATTCTGCTAAAATCTATCCATCTTTTAATTTCAGAAGGGATTTACTGCAAACAATTAAATATTGCTTTTTATTTTTGTGTTTTTCGTGTTGGGTTGGATTCAAGTAATACGTCCGATTAACGTTTCTGATATTGTGATCCAGCCATATAAAATTCATTGTGAATTTAAATATTAAATTATTAATTGTTAAATTTGAGTGTTTGAATAACAGTGTACTCGATGTCTATTAAATACTCAGTATCGATAGTAGTATCGATAGTGGGCAACAGTTATCGATTAATGATTGTATAAGCATGCAGTAAGTGCTTTGCAGAGTTTTTAGAATAACAAATTTTAATTAACCATGGAAAAACTAGTCTGTGCCAGCATGAAGATCGTCCAGATGCAGGTAACCTTTAGGGGATTATGCATACGCCTCTTGGCTTCAAAACAGAGTTTTGTTTTTATTGAAATTACAGATGCCGCAGTTAGCGTCCGCGGGAATCCGTTTGTTGTGTCCAGGCTTGCAGAATGCACTTCAAGTGCAGCAAGTGCGACATCGACAGACTAAGCACTGGAAGCCTGAGTTTAAGCGCTTGCGCAGGCAAAAATTTATAAAAATTGAGCTGCCCAACTTGCGTGAGAAGCCGCAAGATATAAGCAAGGAGGAAATGCGTAGCCGTATGAAAGAACGTGGTGTATTGCCGCCCCGTCCGTGGATGGAACGTCCGTTTCACATAAGCTGCACGGGTGGCATATTTGAGGCATATGTACCGCCAGAGGGGGATGGGAAGAAGTCAATAATATCCTCATCGGGGGCTAAGCAAAAACTTGAATTTCTTGAAAAGAAATCAAAAAGTCTTATGGCTGTACGAAAGATACGTGCGTACGAGGAGAACTTTAGCAGTGATGACTTTGGTGTACAGGCCCAAGAAATCTATATAGCAGCGCATACGCATATGGCGGCTAAGGAAAAGTATAAGATTCGTGAATTTGTTAGCGAACGCTGCTATCCGGAAATGATGCACAATGTCAAGGATAAGACAATACATTGGCGTTTTCTGCAATCGCTGGAGCCGCCCCGTGTGGTACATGCGCGCGTCACTGAAGTTATAACTAAGGAGAATCAGTTTGCACAGGTCACAGTTCGTTTTCACACTCAACAAATGCTGGCTATATACGATCGCTTTGGTCGCCTAATGCACGGCAGCGAGATTGTTACCAAGGATGTTTTGGAGTATGTTGTCTTTGAGAAGCACATTTCCAATGAGTACGGCAAATGGCGGTTGCACGACAAAATCATTCCCGATTGGCTGCCAGCAAAGCAGCCAGCTCCCATTACGTATCGCATCACAGACGAGATTGTCGAGGAAGCGCCCAACGAGCTTAGCAGCGGCGAGCAGACAAAGCAACTGGAGACTGGCAGCAATCAGCTAACGGATATTAATATGAGCAGCTCTCAAACGACGGCATCAATACAGCCGCATACGGATGGTCCTAAACCGACACCCGCCATTTGATTGTACTTTCTGTGGGCTGCCTGGCGGCTCAAAAGATTTAAAGTTGATGTCCAACAGAGTTAAGAACACACGATATGCTAGGCACAAAACACGAAAGCTCTATATATATTTTTATTTTAAAAGTTATTTTTGGTTTTATTTATTTACTTCCATAATCATTTTCAAAATCTTGCATATTGTATTTGCTACTCGGGTTCAAGCAGTAATCAATACAGCTGCTTTGACTGTGAAAAAGATTTTGATTGCCGCCACAGCCGCTAAAGTCAAACTGTCTGCAACGGTCGCGTACGAAGTCATAATACCATTTCCACTGGTGCCCTTTACAATTACCATATTGGGCATCTAGCGTGCAAATTTCTGAAATTCCAGTATAAAAATTATACCTAACAAATTTGTTGTTTGCTATATCGTTACCTTTTCGTTGCTTAGTGGCTTTATCCAGTTTGTAAGCTGTCGCCAGGCTCAGTAAGAGGTACAGAAGGACACTGAGCTGCATAATAATCCTCATTCTGTTAAGCTTTGAATGAGAAATTCTACAAGCAACAGGTCTTTATATATGAGAAAGTAGGCAAATAAAAATATAATTTAAATGTGTTTTGAAATATTATGCAGCGGCCGGTCAGCAGGTTGTTATTTTAAATAAGAAAGAGCTGTTTGAGGCTTTTTAAATATTATAATTGGGTATATTAGGCCCTATGTTTGAATGACGATTACGGTATACTATGCGAATCCAGTACTATTTCAAATATAGTTTGACAATTGATAAACGAAATGGAAGATATAGCGTTAAGAGAAATTTTTGCAGAAATTTATGGCATTCTGTATAATATAGCCTATTTCGTATTTAAATTTGGACAAGTTTTGAAACCAGATGCTTTAAAAATATTTACGCAAATATGTGTGTTCAACATGTGTGTAAGCACAAATTATAATTAACTTAAAACTTATGGCAATATATATATATAGGCATTTATTTACTCAGTTAAACTTAAGATTAGGTGCAGCTAATTATAAATACACAAGTTCACTTCGTGGAGCAGTTGTGGACTGCCACTTCGTCACGGCTCCTTCTTATGGGACACTTTAAAAATACAATACAAGTGTTAATAAATATATTAGAAGTATGTACAAAGATCAGACAGTAGATCGGTAAGTGGGCTTAGGATTAAACAAAGCTGCTGCTGGGCTCATCGAGGTAGGCACAACGTGTGCTTGCCTGCTCCAGCGATTTGCGTGCCATGTCCAGTGGCAATTTGCCGGCAAAAGACAAAGCGTTGGCCGTGGTTGTGGGCGACGTTGTCGTCGTCGTCGACGCCGCCGTCGTCGCGGATGTGAGCTTAGCAGGCGAGAATTTGTTGCTGTAGTTGCCATTGGGCGGGGCATTTGCCACGCCCCAATTTGATGGCTTAATAGGCAACACCTTTGGCTTGGGCGGCAACGGTGGCGGCGCTTTGGCAAATTCCTGTAATTCCTGCTGTTCAATGGACGTTGACATTGCCGGTAACTCTGTGTCCTGCTCCCCCAGATCCACCTTCATGGGCGACTGCGGCTGTTGACCGCGTGTGATAGAAAGGCGCGGCGCTGGCTGTGGCGCATCCACGGTGGTGTTGCTTGCCTTATTAACTGGACTCAAATTGGCGCGCACCTTGCGCAGCTTGGAGGCAGCCGCATTGAGATTCTCTTTGTTTTTGAGAAAGTCGGGCAAATCAAAGTTAATCTCAGTGCCGCGCTGATCCTCCAGGCGCGCCAATTGCGCACGCTTTAGGCCCTCGAGTAGTTCATCTGCAAACAGAGGATTTTCATGTGAATAACAGGCGGGAACCGGCTTGCCGTGTGGCTTCTTACCTTGATGCTCCGCTACTCGCTCCGTTGACTGCAGTTTGACGCCCGCCTTTAGCTTGGCTATGATGGGTTTCTTGGGATCTAAGTTTGGCACTGCCGCTGCGCCTGCCTCCTCGGAATGTTGACTGCTTGTGGATTTCTTTTTGAGCTTGGGCAGCTTGCTGCCTGGAATGTTGCTATTATCGCGTTGCTGTCGTCGCATACGCTCAAATAGCGAAGAGGAGCTCTCCGAGGGGGCTTCATTTGATTTCATGGAGCACAGATCGCTTGGCTTGTGTGTCGTTGACGCTGACGCCGCCGCTGCGGCATCCGCTTTGCTCTGCAGCAGCTCATTAAACATCTTGTTGGTGAGCTCGTCCAGCTGGCCCTGTGTCGAATCTGGTGCAAGCGTGGGCAGCGGCTTCATTGGTTTGCTATGCTTCGGCGGCATGCTACTGCCGCCGCCTTGCTGAAAATCCGGCTGGATCAGTGCTATCTGCAGCCGTTGGCCATCTGCTACAGTGACAGGTTGCATCAAATCAAGCGGCGCCTGAGTATCGCGCAGCAGGACCTGAACCCTTTCCATTTGATAGTTGTATTTGTTTAGAATGGGCCTGATAACCTCATGCAGCTGCTTCTTGGGCTTGCTTTTGACCGATATGACCTTGGGATCGGGCAAATCTAGCTTAAATGCTACTCGACGCTCGATTAGCACCTCTTTGCCGGCCAGCAGCTGTGAGGACTGCTGCGTATCTATAGACTTGTTGCTGCCCTGGAACACAACATCATAGTAGGGATAGACCAGGTTACGTTTCTCCAACAGACGCTCCACCAGCTGACCCACCGTCTCACCGGGACGTGTCTGCACAATAGTTGTGGCGCCATCGGTGAGTATGACACGACACAAGGAGCACACGCTATCTGCGCTGGCACCTTGTCCGGGCTGACCCGCATCGAAGGACGACAACGAGGAGCGGGAACTATGCAGGTCGCTTACCGAGCCACCAGTCAACAGCGCCAGCAATGGTTGTGGTGGCGGAGCTAATCCTGGTGCTTGTGGCGGTGGCATCAGCGTCTGCTGCAGATCGGCCATCAGTTCGCTACGATCGCGGGATTTGCTACGCGTCTTGCGATGCCAGGGCAATAGACTTTTACGCCGGCGATCCTCGGCATTGCTTGCGGATTTTTTTAACTGGAAAAGTCAATGAATCAATGAATAGGAATGTCCCAGACCACACACAATGACTCGCTACTTACCTTGGGCGAGGCTACTACGTGAAAATTTGTCTTCAGCAGCTCATCCAGATCGGCGCCCGTGTAGGGCAACGGCTGTTGCTTCTGCTCCGCCTCCACGCAGCTCTTATAGAGGTCAGAGCGTATGAAGCGCTGATAGCTATCGAATTTCATCAGGTTAAAAATTTGCTTTTGTGCCGCCGCAAAGATGTCCGAGGCGCCGCTGGCCAGTTTCTCGTCGCTAAGATTGCGCGCCTGCGAGTCCACGTTGACCGGATCGCTGCTGCTGTTGGCCAAATGCTTGCCAAAGATTTCTCGTGCCAACGTCACGCGCTCCGGCTCCGATTCCAAGCATCTGTAGCGCTCGCAGGCAGTCCAAAAGTAGATGTTCTCCGCCGAGAATTCCTTTTTGAGAAATTCCGCAAAGGTCTGCATGCCAGCGGCATCTTGCAGCATGCGCTCAAAGGATGTGCCCCAACTACCGGGACCACCTTGCTCCGGCTGTGGCGCTAGCTCTAGCGTTGATTCGGCAACGCCGCCAGCGGCAGCTTTTACCATTACGGTGGATGGCGGCGCCGGAGTAGTGAGTATCTGCGGCACTTGAAAGATCGCCAGCTGTTGCGACTGTTGCTTGGCCGGCTTGAGCTCGTCCAGCATGAGCGTCTTGATGTACACATCGTTGTCGGAGGCGTTCATGGAGGCAGTGCGTCGCACTAATGGACTGCTGCTAGACCCTGCTTTGGCCACCTTGTCGGTGCGCGACGTGCGAAACGATGATTGACCCCAGGCGCGACGAAAGGGCGAGGCATTGGTGGGCAGTGCGCGGTTCTGGAAAAGCCAAAAACATAATAAGAATAGAGCGAAATGTAATAGGCACTTAAGGATAATCTTAGCTCTTATTTCCACATTTTTCAATACTTCTAATAAGATTAGTTTGATTGATTTATTTCTTAAATATTGACAAATTCATAGATTTTCATGCTATCAATTAAAGAAGTCCAATAATACCATATTTTTCAGTATAAGATAGAATAAATAACGGTTATCGCCGGAGAAAATAATATGGCAGCAATATACAACTCGATGTGGATTTTCATAAATAATCACAACTTTTATAAAAAGAACTATGCTTCCTACATAGAAGTCAAATCTGCATCTTAAAAACCAAAAATAAATGTTTAAAAACAAAAAACAACTCAATTTTGAAACAATTCCTTCTGTAGGATCTTAGAACAAAACAAAAGCTCAGCTAAACATACCCTATAAAGTGCTCCCATAGAAGCTGACAATCGCTTTAAAGTGTTTCTTCTAATGGGTATTCCAGGCACATTGTATATGAAGACCAGTACTCGGAATAGCTTTCTACAACAATTCCCATTACAACTTTATTTTGACCAATGCTCAGCGCTCTTTAAAGTGTATTCATAGCCGTCTTGGAGTTCAAGCACCCCATAAGTTCATTTTCATGGGCAATTTACAAGTACAAATTGAGGGAATGTGGAAATGAGGGACGGACTGGCCGATCACGTCTGTCATTATCACGGCCAAGCCCTAAACAGACGACACGATAAACTTTTGAACTTTTTAGTTTTATTTTTGTTGTTTGTTATGTGCAGAAGTTGAGGCTTCAATTTGTGTACATGTGTGTATAAGAGTGTCTCTCTGTGTGTGTGTGTGTGCGCGCGTGTGTGTGTGTGTGTGTGTGTGTGTGTGTGTGTGTGACGCATGCAACAGTTGGCAGCCGTTGGCAACTATTGATTGTCTCCCCTTGGCTGCCGCTCATCTCGCCCACAATTCTAATTGTGTGAACAAATTGTAAACCCAGCCTAGGCATATGTAGTGAGCGTGTGTGTGTGTGTGTGTGTGCACAGACACACATATTGTGATGAGTGTCGTTTCTGGGACTGCCTGCCTGTCCAATCCATTTGCTGCACTTTGCTGATAATCACTTTTGTCAGACAAACTCG